CAAACAACAAGTTTCCCACCCCAAACTTCATAGTACTTTTAAAAGCAGCTTCCCTCCTCCAAAAAAAAGTGAATAAAAGCCTGTGCTTTAGGATTTCAGTCTTTCCCATTTCAATTTTACCAGTTCTACCCATGGCCTCAAAAGCTGTTTAGGTCATCCCCAAAAGAGAGCTCTGTTCAGAGGATTTTTGCAGCCGGGTAATGCAGAAGGTAAAACAGACCATGTCTGTCTGACCTTAAGTTTAAGACCAGGATTTTAGAAAGAAAAAAAGATGACAGTAGATTTGAAAAACAAAACCTCATTTTTGAAGCCAAATGTTATCATTTGTCAACAAAGTTTTTTGGGGGACAGGGAGGCTTGGCAGGGAGGGGCTCTTGTGCCCCACTCTGACCGGGCCACTCCTGCTGTCCTCCACTAGCCTCACAGGAGCACCCAGACAAGGGACCCCATTAGCCGGCAGGGGTCCCTGGCCAACTATCCCCCCACCAAGACCGGCTCCCCAGTGCACTCATTACAAGACCCAGCTAAACCACTTCCTCCCCAGTTGCCTAACATGAGCCCGCGATTCCCGGGAAGCCGCCCTGGCTGCATGGAGGCTGTGAATTCAGCAGGAACCCAGTCGAACTGCTCCAGCACCATCCGCGGCGCCAGAGCAGGGAAATGGAGGTGGCTCACGGGTAGGCCCACACTGAAATTCTGTTCATTCTGCTAATTCAGAAAATACCCACCCAGTGCCAACTCTGGGCCAGGTTTGTCACGAGTTACAAACACACCCTCTCCAGCTGTGAAGGGTGTTTGAGGGCCTGTGTGCGGCTTCACAGTCAGGCCAGACTCTCCAGTAACCTGCAGGCCGCTCCCAAAGTCATCTGAAAATGGGATTTGGGGAAGAGTAAAGGTCCCCAGAGAATCACAAATATCATCCAAAACTGCCCTCAACAGACTGCCCACAACCCCTGGGGACGGACCCTTCCTGTTTGAGTGTCTGTTTATCTCACTTCCCAGCAGACAAAAGCTTACCGGGCCAGCCCAAGGGAGGGAGACCCCATCTAGCCCATGACCCAAAACCTGGAAATCTGGCTACCTTTCTGGGGCTTGCAAATGAGCCCCTGCAGCCTTTCAAAAGAAATCACAGAAGGGAAAAAACCCACAAACTCGTGAAACTTTAAACTCTACTCAACAAAGAAAGTCAAATGTTCCCAGTGAAATTTCCCAAGAACCCCAAGTTAGGGGACTTTATTTCTTCCTTTTCTATAAATCCCTGCCCCTGAGTTCTTAGGGCCTGCAATACCCCGATACTCGAGCTCCACTGTCCCAGCCAACAGGACACCGGTCGGCCCTGAAAATAAATATTTCATATAAAAGGTCCATTGTCTTTACTCGGACACAATTGTCGCTTTTTCTCCCTCCTCAGCTCCATAACATCAGAAAGCATGGCCGATGCCATTTACAGTTCTTTCTTGTTCCAACAAGATGTTTTGAGAAAGGGCAATCTTGCTGGGTCTTCCTGAACGATCAGCTAAGAGATAAAATTCTCCCAAAGCAAGCATTTTCGTAAACGTATGCTTGCATGTGGCCAAAGAACAATCAGCCCGTCACAGTGGTGAGACCCTCCCACAGCATCGCCTGCCGCACTGCCAGCAAGGACGCTGGTAGCTGAAGTGGACACTCTGGACCCCTGAATCGGGATGTCTTGCTTTCCCTGGACCCTGAAGTGGCGAGAGCACAGGTCAGATGCTGGGGCCAGCACCCATGTGAGCTCTGAGTGCCATTCTCAGGGAAGTTCCACTCCTGCCCCTAAGATGGGGCATGTTCCTCTGTCAGCACATCCCAGGACCTCTGGGGGACTTGGCCCCTCCTGGCATACCCCGTGCATCCAGGTCAAGTTCCCATGATAAGACAGGCCCTGGCTTCGAAAGCTCCTGACAGCAGTGTCATCAAGGTTCACTTCCACCAAGCCTGGGTCTGGGGAGTAAACTTTAGGTGCCCTTTCTGGTGAAACCAAAGCTGGGTTCTCTGTTTCTTAGAAACTCAAAAATATAATAATAACAATAAAAATGGCAATTACCATTTACCACGGTAACAATCACAACAGCAGCAGACATTTGTGGTGTCCCTGCTGTGTGCCAGGAACTGTGCACTTTGTGGAAGTAATGTCTGAACCCTCTGAGTGACCCTCTGAGGTCAGCATCATTATTTCTGCTCTAGAGCTGAGGGGGGTACAGGCCCAGGAAGGGAATATGACTTGCCCAGGGTTGCACAGTGAGTGTGGGCCAGGGGCTGGATGGGAACTGCCCAGATGTGAGCCAGGACCCTTAATGGGATTTCTGCAAGCATATTCTCCCTCCCCGCAAACGTGCAAATACACGCTCCAACCTCAAGAGCAACCAAGCATGATGGTTTTAAGATGTTTTCCCGAATGGCCTGGAAGGGCCTCCCTTTCTTCCCAAACACTCTCCCCCTCTGGGGGCCCATGTCAGTTTCCCCAGACACAGGGAGCAGCAGCCCACACAGGGTGCCTGTCAGGGCGGGCACAGCCCTCTAGCCCCTCCCGCAGCCCCTCTGGCGGGCTGCCATCCAGTCATGCCCATGTGGAACAGGCCCCCGTTCCCTTCTGAGGATGTGAGCAAGTGAGACCGGTTCAGAGTGCTCCAGTCAGGTGCAGACCACAGGGCCCCAAAAGTGACCCTGCTGCAAACGGCTCCCCGCTGTTCCCGCTGAGCGAAGCAAAATGCTGCTTGCACCTGCTAGGGTGGTGTGGAACCCGGCCACGGCAGGGACCACGTCACCCCACGGTGCCGGTGCTGAGCAGCCAGCCCCCACCAGCACCTCAGAGACCCTTTAGCTAGTATTGGGGTTCAAGTGGCCAGAGGCTGGGTATGGTGAGGCCCCAGTGGGGGTGAAGGTACCCCGGGGGCTGGCCCTGGTTTAAAACAAAAACAGGTATACCAGCCCACCATAGTCCACACGATCCTGTCTCCTTGCTCAGCACATTACTTTTATTAAATCCAGAAGTGATAAAAAACAGGCGCCGGTTTCGTTTTCAGAACCTCGTCTTTTGTATGTATGACCTCAAAAATATATTTGCCTGGATGGGCCATCCCCACACAGCAAGAATCTCCTGGTGGGACCAACTCTGCACTGGCACCAGGTCCCCTGGCTCTGTGGGTCAAGGACAAAGGCAGGACGGCAGTGGCGCCGAGACAGGGCCTCTGTCCCCGGCGCCCCCCACGCCTTACGGTACACTCTCAATCCCATCATATTCCGTGTGCCAGCCACCCTCTGGGACAAGACATGGATGCTGCAGCTTCAACAAACAGCACCTGCCAGCTCTGTGGCCCTGGGGGTGCTTCTCTGGATGCCCACGCCTTTCCGTGCTTGCCCCATTTCTGGCCTGTAGAGAAGGAGCAACGAATGCCTCTAGCTCTGCGCTCTGTTTTAATTCTGGGGGATGCACAAAGCCTCAGCAGAAAGCCACACCATTCCTGCCCACCACGAGATACGTCAGGTCATCAGTGGATCTGGGGAAACCATATCCTGGTTTTGCAGGAGGGGCCCCAGTGGAACCTGAGCTGCTTATAATTGCTAACCTAGTCACCACCACCGCCATGCCATACCAAGCAGCAGCTTTAGCTGCTGTGCCCCCACTTCTGAGATCGCTCCCAGAATATTCCTCCCTGGTTTCACATCTGCTAACTGCCTCTAATGACTTCATAAATAAAAATTCAAAACGGGGGCAGATAGGAGAGAGAAGGGTAATGGCCTAGCCCAAAAAGATGGCCAGATTAGCTCTGAGGTACCGAAGTGAACTTGCAGCCTGTGCCAGGGTTGGCCGGACCTTACAGAAACGGTCTCCCCATTCCTCTGGGCTCTTCCCTCTGATCTGGGGAACCAGGCAGCCCAGGAAGATGGGAGAGTGAGGCAGGCTGGGCTACTTAGGCCCTGTCCACATTCCAGGCCACACAGCCTCCAAGTGCCAGCTCACAACTCTGGGGTGTTATGGAAACAGGCCCCCTTACCCCACTATTTTGTGGTCACAGCACCCAGCAAGGTTATCCAAACCACATCAATCAGATGGAGGAGAGCAGAGGGGAAATCGCACCTGTGATGCGATCGTATTAAAAAGCGGCCTTAATCCCCCACAGTTACGGGTTTCACTTTAACAGGATAGGTACACACACACAAGTACTAACATGCATTTTAAAATCCCAAATAGCTAAAACCAACGAAGTAAAATAAAATGAAGGTACCGCTGGCCTGCAGAGACTGCCCTGCATTCTGAAACCCAACTTTGAAAAAATTAACTTCAGTGTTACCTTAAAACCCTGTAATTATGGCAAAAACGCATTCCTTCATCCCTTTCTTGCTCCCCCAAAACTCCCCAGGGCCGCGGGTCGGGTCTGTGTGTGAGTCACCTATAAAGGGAGATTTGTTACAAAAAGTTATGAGTTGTTTTTTCGTTTTATGCCACCATAAACCACAGCTTCCATACAAGGGCTTTCACTCAACCGGCCTGATTGGGGCCACTGCTGGACCGGGGCCCCCTCGTCCCCCCAAATCAGCTCTCCATAAATGCCTGGCCAGCAGGAAAAAAACAAAAACAAAAACAAACAGAAGATAGCGGTGGTTTAGGAAGTGAATGAAAGGCTTCGATTTTTCAAACAAGAATTGTAGCTTCCAAATAATCTTTCCAAACACATCTAACGTAAAACATGTTTTCTCTTTCGCTTCTATCCTATTTAAGATGTCTGATGACACTACTTTCCGTGTTCAACAAAAATCTCTTTGCAAATGAGATTAGAAGCTGTATTTCACAAATTTCAAGTTCCTGAATTTTAATGACGGCCGTGGAGTTCTTGCCCAGCTGGTGCGGCTTCAGGTTCAAGATCGTATTAAAGATCCCTCGCATGTCCTTCGTCTGTGGCAGGCCTGCCGTACAGGCGGCTCTTCTTAGAAATCCCTTCATTAACATTTAAATTATCACTAAGCAGCGAAAGTGAAAAATGCACTTACCGTCCTCGGGAGTCGCGTTGAAACCGATCGTGACCCGGGCGCGCAGGTCGCCTGCCTGCCCTTGCCGGAGGAACGCGCCTGGACGCAGCCAGCGCTGCGCGGTGGTGCCGGGGGGCGCACAGGCCCTCGGCCATCGGTCTGAGTCCTGGGTTGAAAGCACTTCCCTCCTTCACGCGTGGAAACGGCAGAGGGCAAAGTGGTGCCATATCCCGCAACTCTGCAGGGCGGGACAGCTGAAGGATGGCGCCGCCGTAGCGTACGGCCAGGCCCCACTTCCCCGGTCCCGCGCCGCGCCGCTCTCCTCCCGGCTCAGGCTTCCCTGGATCGAAGACCGGTCCTCGCCAAAGAGTGGCCCGCAGGACCCTGCCTCCGCGTCCGCCACCAGCGCCGCGATGGACCTTTGTCCCGGACGAAAATGAAAGTGCGCTGGGCTGGGGGCGCCCACGCCCTGCCGCGGAGGTCCGGGCCGGCGCGCCTGCGACTTTCTCCAAGTTCACGTGCATCCCCGGGCAGGCGGGAGGGTGCCGCGGGCCCGAACTTGCAGAGCCGGGCGTCGGCGCGCGGCGGGCTGCGGGAGGACTGCGCGGCCGGCGGCGCGGGCCCGGGCACAATGGGCGCCGCCGGCGGGCGCGGGGACAACGCGGGCCCGGCCGCCGAGCGGCCGCTAGTCTGGCGGGTCCCGGGCGCCGAATGCGGCGGCGGCGGCTTGGCACAGACGCGCCGCGCGCCCGGTGCATGCTAATGGCCGGCGGCCGCGCCATGAATTATTCAGCAGCGGCGCGGAGACGGCGAGCGCGGCGCGGAGGGCGGCCCGGCCGCGCGTCCCCCGCCACTGCGAAGCGGCCGCGGCGACTTCCCAAACTTTCCCTGGTCGGCACCGAGGATGCGGCCCCCGCGGCGCCTCCGTCCCCGCCCGAGCGCGCCGGCCGTGCTTCCCACGTTGCCGCCTATTTTATGTCTTTTGTCTTGGAGTTGGCACCTGTCCCAGAGAGCGCGTTTCCCTGCCCACCCCTTCGCCGCCGGATCAGGGCGGGGGAGGGGGTACAAGGGACCCGGAGAGGAGGGGACAGGGGTTGGGGAGAGCAAGGCGCTAAGGGCCCTGCAGCCAGAGACCGCCCGGGGGAGGTGGCCGTGCCCGTGCGCCCGGGCGCCCCTGTTCCGCAGGGAGGTCAGGGCTTCAGCTGTGCCCGGAATACCAACGAGGCCTCGCGGGGCCCCCGGCCTTGCCCACTGCGGGCGAGGACCGGGCGCGGCCCCTCCGACTCCCCCTTCGCTGCGCACCCTCCTCCCGGGCCGGCGCGCGCGGGCGGGGCGGGCGGCGCGAGCAGCGGATTCGCCGCCCGGGCCCCGCGCCTCTCCCCGCAGCCTCGCGTGCGCGTCCCCGCGGGCACGCCGCCCCGGGCGGTCCCCGCCCGCGCGCCCGCGGCCCCGCCCGCATCCCCGCTCGGGGCTGGGGGCACCGCACAGCGAGGACCCCTCCATTTCCCGCCTTGCGCCCTGCGACCCGCGCACCCAAGGGAGGCGAGCAGGCGCGAGCTCCGGCCCGGGCCCGCCCCCGCCGCCCTGGCACCGAGGTGGCTGCCGGAGCGCGCTCGGCAGCTGCGCTCGGAGGAGCCGGCTGCCATGATTGCGGGCAGCGGGGCGCGCGCGCTCGCTCGGGCCCGGCTCGGACCGACGGTCCCTGGCCTGCCTGCAGTCCCGTGCGCGCCGCGGACAGAGGCTGCGGTCGCCGGGCTTGACCCTGCAGGGGCTAGTGTACGCCGGGCAGCTCTAGACGAGGCCCCAGGACGGGCTTGGGGTCGTGGGTAGCAGCTGGCTTTCCCCGGGGCAGGGCGCGCGCCAGGGCGACCCCGCGGCGGTTCGCGGACACCGGCTGCCCAGCGGAGGGGGGGGCGGCATGGTGCCAAGTGGGGTGGGGGTAGCGTGCACGGACCTGGTTAAGTGGAGGGCAGCGCACTGAGCCCTGAGATGGAAGGGGTGCGCAAGGTGCCGGGCGGAAGAGGGGTACCCTTAGGTTGTCCGGGGAGGAGTAGGATGGAGGAGGCACTGTGCCCGGAGCGGCTGCCCAGCTCTGAGCTCCCTGTCTTCCTTCCTCGCAGAAACAACTTCCTGATCCCGGCCCAGGGCGCTGCAGCTGCGGGGAGAAGTTCTAGGCCGCAGCTTTGCTCTCACGGAGCAGCACGACTACAGTGCTGCCCCGACCGCGCGGTTCCCTCCCGCGCCCCCTCCCGGGGGTCGCAAGCGGCCAGGCTCCAGTGTCCAACACTAGTTAGAATGCCAAGGAGGCCTCAGCAGCCCTTCCTGCCAGGTCCACAGGGGCGCCTGGGTGGCTTTCCCGCAGAGGGGCCTGGGTCTCTGGCATTCAGGGAATGCCGACACCGGGGCGTTATGCTCAGACCCCCTCCCTCTGCCCGGGTGCCCTCGATCAGAGCCAGATGGACCTGGCTGTCCCCGGACGCCCATGAAGGCGCCTGAGAGAAAAAAGGCGTCCTGGGCCCCACCCCAATGTCTCTCTGTGCCTCTCTTCCCCCGACCCCCCCAGCAGGCCTTGGCATTCTAACCAGTGTCCCTTGACGTCACATCTCGCCATTTCTGTCAACCAATTGAAACTTGCCCGTCGTCATAAAAATATATATACTTTTTATGCCATTGGTAAATTCAAAAGTTCCTCCTGTGCCCGGCTTCCCAGGAAACTCCATTCCACCTTAGATTGCCCTGCCCAGGAAGAGGAACTGGCCACCCGGGCAAGGCTGGGCTGGGGTAGCCCGAGCAGGTCTGCCAGGGCCTCTGCTGCCTCCTGACCCTCCTTGGAGGCTCCCTAGACCCCCATGACCTTGCCCTTGAATTGTGCTAGACACCCACCCACTCATTGCCACCACTCTAGGACATGCACAATTCGGGGAAGAGGAAGAGAGGGGAGGGAGAAAAAAAACAGGATATATTAAGAAATCTTCCACATTGGCCTTCCTGGGTGTTAGGATCTTACTGTGGCCTCTTCTTCCTAGGAATAGTTTTGGTTTTTTTCATGAGAAAATTTAGTTTTATAAAATGGAGCAGCAATGTTTTCCGGTTAATCTTTTCACTGAAATCCTGACCAACTTTCACTTTCCATAGCTGCTGACAACGCTCAGCGACAGCCCAAGCAGGGGTGATTTCACAGTGGGGTGAGTTTCACTCCTGCCGTGAGGAAGGTCCAGGGTGGCCCTCCCAACCTCAAGGACTATGGGGTGAGAGACGAGACGCAGGAAGCCCAGGAACTCCACATTCCTCCTTGCTCAGAAAACAAGGGCCCTCTCTGCAACCAAAGAGTTGGGGAAGCTGTGCTCACGTTCCAGCATTAGGGCAGGGAGAGATGGTTGTCTCCCTTGCCTATCACAGTCCTTTATAATTTTCTTCACTATTATAATTCCCAGGCCCAAGCAGGATGTGTGGAATAAGAGAACACATTCCCAGGAGATGATAAGGTGCTGTACCAAAAAGCCACACAGGTTCCTCTATAACCCATCCTGCTTGCCCACACCACGAGTCCAGCCACTGACTGCCATGATGGTGCCCCATCTTCACCTAAGGTTCAACTACTTTAAAAAACGTATTAAAGACACTCTGTGGTTGAACCACTTTGGGGGCCTCCCAACAAAAACACTTTCAGACAGTGGACTCAGTGCAGAGATCTCAACAGCATAAAGTATCAGGCCCTTTTAATACCAAATCTTGTTTTTACAAAATAATGAGCAAGCTCAGTAACAACAGAACGGGGATTTTGAAAACAAAACAAATATATGGTGACTATTCCATATAAAACTGGTCCCAAGTGCAAACTGTAGACATGCTGCATGCCTTTGAGATACATTCACACACACATGCATCTGACAACCGTGCTATAATCTATTTATAATCACTTTCCTAAACACTAAATATTATAACTGATGTGATATATGTTTTGTGATTAAATGGGTGGATTAAAACACTGCACTTAAAAAGCCACAAAAAAAAAAAAAGAGATTATCTTCCATTATGCCACTTACAACTTTTGTTCCATTGGCACAAATACAAATTTGACAACTGTATCATTACTGAAGGCAATGACTAAATGTGCCAGGCTATTAGCTTTGTAATTTTCACCTGAAATCATTGTATAATCATACCGATTCACTAGCCTTTTTATTAGCTGATTTTTCCCCCTTGCTCTCACACACAATAATGATTTAATGCCTTTTCCCTCCTAATTTTTATTTGGCAAAACAAGAAATCAGGTGAGTCAGAACAATATTCAAGAGCACACACTCTCTTCTAAAAAAAATCCCCCCATACTTGGCAAGGATTTATAGGTAATTTGGTTGCAAATTCAGAAATCAAATTCTGCTTTATTCAAGGAAAATAATAGCACTTGGGGAATTCCAGTGGATATTATTCAGGCTGGTTTTTGAAAGTCTTTTTCTAAGTTGTTATCATGTTATATTATTCAGAGGAAGTACTATTAAAAAGTGCTCAAATGGTCCAGAAGGACCCCTGAAAACGCACTTGGTTGATGAACACTGTGATGGGCAAGTTTTCTGGAGGAAAAACTTGGTCTGTGCCTTTGGGCCAGGGACCATGCCTAAGGTCAGATGTTTGAAAAATAAGTCATAGGAAGGCTCTCGCTATACCAGGATGTTTATAGCATCAGCCTTATACAGTTATTTTTTCCTGATTTCTTCCAAGATCTGCCTAATGGGAATGCAGCCGGCAACTTCCTGCCCTGCTCCTGCACCCGTGTGTCCCGGCTCAGCCCTCGCCGCCGTCCGGCCCACGAAAACCAGGGCAGTTCAGTTTGCTTTTCTCAGCGTGGCCACATTTGATAGTTTAAAATGTTCAGTATGCAAGGCGTTCTGAGGACTTAGTAAACAGATGCATTTAATCGAATTAGTGAGTAGGATGAGTGTTTGTGAAAACTTCCATTTTCACTTGGGTTTTGAACATTCAACGTGCAACACCCAAGAATAATGATGTTTTTAAAGCTGGCCCAATAAGCGAGATTGCAAGTCTGAGGAGGCCCCTGGGTAAGATGCCACGTCTTCACTCATCCCCGACAATGTGCCCTTTGGAGGAGCTGCTCAGAAGCTTTGGGTACTGTTTGTAAAGGCAAACCAGGCTTCTGATTTTATTCTTCACCTTTGTGAAGAAATAGTTTGCAAATATGGGATTCCATTTTGATACACCTCTTTCATAAAAACTTGTACTCCTACTTTAGGAAGGGCTCATTTTTACTCTGTTATTTGCACATGAGCCTACTGACATCGGTTTACCCTGGGTCAGTATTTTTGTTTTCCTTACAGAGATAGTTGAGGAAGAAGAGAGGGTACAGAAACCTACCAGTAAAGACAGAAGAACAGGGACAGAGGTAATGGCATTTGTAGGGTCTCAGGCTGGGTGAGGAAATGTGAGGAAATATCCATAGGAAGGATTCTTTCCTTCCAAACATAATGAAGCATTTCACAATCTTTTGCTTTAGTTAACTCAGTTTCATGTCAAACCTGGCATTAGTTAACAAGCAACAGAAATAAAATTCTGGCTGAAGGACAGCATGTTTGAGGAACAAAGCCCACGGCAGACACTACATTAGCAGCCTCCCCTACAAACCCCCCAGGCATGCTGGCAGAGCATTTCTATATCTTCTCCCCTTTTGTAAAAAATATAAAAAACAGATTTAGTGTGCCTGCAGCTGACAATGATCAGTCGTGTGCCTGTGTTCTCTCCTGACTGATAGGTGGTAACTCCACACCCGTGCAATCATGTGTCTGCTTAGAAACCTGTGAACAGCTGTTTTATCATATTTAACACGTTTTGGAAGTCCATATATTCACATCTCACAATGTGTTATGTGTGTATATATATATATTTCTAAAAAGGCTAACAACGCTGAAAGCACTCTTAAGGAGTTAATATTTTTCAAATAGGGCATAAAACAACCAGAAGTCTACAATAAATGTGCATTCAATCCTATACAGAAATATGTGAATATACTGTATATAATAGATACACGCTAGTATGAAAAATTTTTCTCTTATAGATGAGGAATTACAATTCATAGTTTCCATTCCTAAGTAGTAACAACACAAATCAGAAAATGTGAATGAAGGATAACAGGCCAATATCCCTGGCTATACATACAACTATCAAACGCCAAAACTAGATTCTTAGTTTCACATAAGGAATGAGAAAAAACACAGTACAAACTAAATTTTTTAAAAATCAAATTTACCTTTCCAAGAGAAGTGGGTGCTGAATTTCAGTTGCTCAATTCTACAATTTCTTCCCAATTCATAAATTGGGATGTCAACATTTTCCTAAAGAATTTATTGTGCTGCTTACCGCAAATTAGTATTTAAAGATACATTAGAATTCGGAGTTTAACAAATTCTAGTAAACAGAGGTATTTATTTCCATGAAAGTGAAAAGACGTTATAAAATTTGAAAAGTATTTTACTTCCCAAATGTCTAAGGAATGACTTCCTTTGACAGTTAAAAGACTTGATTTATTTAAAGTATTTTTGCATCTTATCAATCCTTTATAGGGGCTGAAATAGTCATTATTTTAATGACTCCATATTCTTTTTGAATCACATCTCAGAATTTAACTATTAAAATTTAAAGCAATTTTACACTTTAAAAACTGTCAAATTTTACTTTTTAAAAATTTTAAATGATGCTGAAATACTAACGAAAGTCAGTTGAATTTCTTTCTGCCCACCCCAAATGAGAACTTTCACCATTTCTTAGCCACACAGTTCTTCCGTGACCTAGGTAACTGACATGTCCTCTGTAATAAAGGAAAATAATAATAAAGAAAATAAACCCTAATTAGAATGCAAATGGTTCATTGTTAAATTGCAAGGGACAGCAAGGAACTTTTTCAAAAATCAAGAGTACAGAGATCATGTCTTTAAAATCTTTACAACACAGCCTAAGCTGCAAAGTGAACACAAACAGAATGAGTGATTTTTGTTGGGGTGGGGTGTGGGGGTCAGTTAGAAGTTATTTGAACTGTGACCACACTGGCCTTATTTATTGAAATAGTCCTGTCTTATTTTTTAAATCTAATAGGATTTCATGCAACACAAGTGAGTAATTTGCTTTATATGTAATGACAGTTTCATTTTTCTGATTGTCTAAATATCTGTAGCCTTTAGATTCAGTTACAGACAGATAAGGTTAAGGTTGGATTTTTCATATGTAACCCTTCCACACAAAGTGAAGACTTGTTTTAACTAAATTTATCACTGCAAGACGAGATAATATTTGATGGCTGCAAAAAAAAAAAAAACTAAACTAAAAAGAAAGCCAGTGCTTTTGTTCTGTTTTGTTTCTTGCTATTTATAGAGCAACTTTTGGTGGAATTCCTAATTTTAAAAGAACATGAAGTTCATTTTTTTTTTAACCAAAAGAAAGTGGTAATGTTAGCGATCAGACAAGGGATGACACTGACCTTGGAAATAAGAGTCTATATAATTTTTACATGAAAACATATATTTTAAAACATTTCAGAATTATAAGAGGTGTGGATAGGCATTTTTCACTCCCGTGCTTGGTTTTCGATGGTGTGCACAGGCAGAAATTCTTAACTATCGTCAAGGGTTTGTGCCTCTGCTAACATCTTACCCGTTAAGCAGTTTTTCTGCTCTGTAGTCTGCTACAAGATCCTGCTTCCGCAGTGGGTTCTCCCCAGTGTTCCTACCTAGGAGAGACAGCCGCCTCCTTTCCTCGTTCTGACAACTTCTCAGAAATTGGCAGTCTCTCACAAGCAGAACGCCGGAAATTTTTAGGAGGACTCTAAGGCTCACTGGGAAATTTCTCTTGCTGGGAAAAAACTTCTCAATGCACACCTGGATCTACAGATTCGGAAAAATTAACCAGCTGTAGCCAAAAACCCAAACACTCAACCACCCGAACAGAGTCTGCAAGAAACACAGAGTTCTTTGAGCGACAAGAAGACTGGTAAATAAAATAGCTCCAAGGCAGACAGGCTGAATGAGCCTTTTAAGACAGCCTGTTGGTGCCTCAAACTTTAATATTAGAACATTAAATGTTAGCAACACGAGGATTCTACCCTGGGATATGTGCGTGCGCATGTGCACGCACTCATGTGTGTATGTGTATGTATGTATAGAAATGAACATTTTGCTGCCGCTGAGGCTTGGGGCTGAGTTGAGGTCCTGGTGGAGAGCCCCTACCCCAGGAAGAGAGGCAGGCTCTACCTGTATTCTCTTTGGGTCACTCCCTTTTTCATTCCACGTATGCAAACACCCAAAACCAGTAAAAACATAACCTGGTGTAGATGACAATGACCCGTCTCAGATATAGAAAATATTTCCTTGGAATAAAAGAAAAAACAAAACCTGTGTTTTGTGAATGGCAAACCAAGCTGACCTCATTCATCGTCATTAGGACAGCAGCAAGGTCAGCACTGGGGAGTAAGACACGGGGTGGGGCTGAGGTGCGCTCTCCACCCTGCAGCTCCGGATCCCTCAGGAGAGGTCAAACTGTGCAGACCCGGCTGGGGTTTGGACCCCGCTGACAGCCCGGGATAATCATTCAGGGCTCTTAGGCATACATGCCAAGAGTAGGAGGGTCTCCAGATCATCAATGCAATCCCCCAAATTGGGGGTCACTTGACTTCTCAAGTTCAAAGGCCTTGAGGCGCAGGGGATGCTCTTTATTGAGCCCGCTTTCTCACTATGCATGGCCCACACCCTTCTCATAACCAATGAAGAGGGTTTCCATACAGTTCAAGTCAACAGAAACTGCGTCAGTGCCAGGTTCCATGTAAGTCGCCAAGCTAAGCATTTTGAGATCATAAAACAAGGGCCTCGGAGTAGAGGGTTTTTCCTAAGGTACTAGGATAGCAAGCGCTTCATAATTTACAGTGGTCTCACCCCGTCTCAGGCCATCCCTACGACTTCACAGGACAACAGGATTATCATAGTTCCTTAAAGGCCGGGGAAACTGAGGCTCAGGTGGATGGAATAGTGACTTGGTTTAATATTGCACAGACCTGGGACCCTCAGGCACACATGCCCCTTTGTTATTTTTGCCTTTTTTTTTTTTCAAGGAAAACATCACCACTCACCTCTTCTCACTCATATACACATAGGCTTATTTTATAGGTTAAGAACAGTTCCCAGGAAAAACAGAGCCCCATTGAAATCTGAGCCCCAGAACTGCCTTAAGCTGGCCAGCTTTGGCACCCCCCCAACCCCTACAGCCAGCTATGGCCATCTGAGGCATCCACCTCTCCCTGCCGGGTGCATCCTGGCTACTCCTTCAAAACTGGGCCGGGATGAATCCACCTTGGTGGGTAAAACTGCAGACACGAGACCCCCACCAGGCCTGCCTGAGTCCTTGTAAGAAAGCCGCCCTGCCTGAGCTGAGGGGCCAACAGTGCCCTCTGTCCACCACACTTTCTCCTGGGTGCCAGCACCCTGAACCAGGGCTTTCCCCAGCCAAGCAGCCAATGAGCCCCACCTGACCTTATCCATCGCGGTCTTCTCTGAACCTGGCAGGCCCCTGCTGGCAGTATGAAAGGCCGAGCAGGTGACCAGGATGGCCTGAGAAGACCTCAAAGTCCTGTGTCAGCAAGAACCACTGATGGCCGGCTCCCTGTGAGAAGGCTCTCTCCTGCAGGGGTGGCCAGTGCCCCAGGCCTTGACATCAGCATTCTTCAGGGCAAATGTATGCTGATCTGATCGAGTTATTGCTCCTCAGAAAAGAGAAAGGCCAGGTTTGAGCCTTGGCAGTGGGGGAATGACAGTGAGGAAGGGGCAAAGAACCAGGGAACTGGGTTGTTTGGGAACTAGTTCTACAGAAAGGGATATCGCAGGCATGGCTCCACAGGGGTTCCCTTTGCAGCAGAGATCTGCCCCACACCCTGACATTTACAGAAGCATCTGCCTTACCCAGCTCACGTACACCCGGGACCCCCACCCCAGCTCTATCCTCTGGACCACCACATCTTTCTGAAGCCAAATTCTACATTCGAATATGGCCCACCACAGAAGACAAGCTCAGAAACAAACTTAACATTTTAAAGTCTCCCTGGCAAAGCAACGTGAAGAAAACTATGAAATAAATGAGGCGCGGACCAGAGGGCCTCGCGTGCCTTGGCTGAGACGTACAGGCCGCTCTGTTCATCCGCAAAGGCAAACCCTTACTGAGACCCCTTTCTCTTGTTTCCTTTTTGCCCCTAATTACAAGAAAAAGTGCTTTTTAAAAGAGATAAAAACCTTAAAAAAAAAAAGTTACAAAGAGCTAAGCTTCAAAAGCTTCTTGGGATAACAATTATAACCTTGTCCACCATTTGAGTTAAAAACAAAGAAGAGAGGACATGGGATGGTCAGGGCCTGAATTTGGCGTCATCCGCCTCGGCGCCCTGCACAGCCGGTCTCACCTAAAAGCACCCCCGGCTCTGGAAAGGGTGCGCTCTGCGGGAGAGGAGGGGCTGTAGGAGGGCTCACCGCCGGGCAGGGGCTGAAGGCTCCTGATTTTCCCTCTCGGAGGCTGACCCTGGTTCCTTTTCTTTCCCACCTGCAGGATTCCCAGCAGAGAAGGAAGAGGCACAGCAAACCTCTCCTGCCTGCACCCCGCGGGCCTCGGGCCCAGGGCGGCAGAGTCGCCGAGGCCCCTTTCCCGGCCGACAGGCCCCCGCTTGGCCGCGGTGGATGCTCGGGGTCCGCCTCCGCCAGGCAGCCCCCCCGGCTCGCGGCTCCGGCGGCGGGCGGGTCCGCGCGGGCCGGGCCGGGCCGAGTGGCCGCGTCGGGAGCGGAGTGGGGCCCGAGGTCTGAGCCCGCGGCGTGGCCGGTGGGCCGGGGTCTGAGTCTGGGGCGGGGGCTGCGTGGGGAGGTCCGAACCGGAGGCCGAGGTCAGGGTCCGCGGTCCGAGTCCAAGGCCCGGCGGGGGTCCGAGTTCGGGTCGGCGCCGGGTCCGGGGCCCCGGGCCCGAGCCGGGGCGGGGCGGGGGTCCCGACGGGGTCCGCGCCCGCGTGGGGGTCCTCGGCCGCGGCGGCGGCACGCGCCCCAATTAGCCGCGGGCGGGCGGCGGGGCGGCCCCATTGAGGGCGAACAAAGGGCGCGACCCCGGGGTCAGGGAGTCGCGGGCCGGCGGCCGCCGCTTTGTTCGCCCGCCCTGTTTACTCTGCACGAGCAAAGCGCTCAAGACCCCGACTAAAGCGGATTAGAGGGTCGCGCCCCGGGGGCCCGCGGGACCTCCCAGCCCGACGGGCCGGCCCGGCCGCTGCTGCAGAGCCCTTGCCGCCGGGGCCGCCGGGGAAACTGAGGCCGAGCCGCCAAGGCCTTGCCGGGTCTGCAGCGCGCGGGCGGCGGGCGGCCCTGCAGGGGGCTCCGGGCCGGCGGCCCCAGGCTCACCTGTGCGGCCGGACAGCGAGGCAGCCGTCCCGGGGAGCCCCCGGCCCGGCCTTCAGGCCGACCGGGACGGTGTGCTGCTTCCCGGATCCCTGCATTTTAGTGACTCTGCCCTTCCCGACGCTGCTGGTCCTGGGAATTCCTTTTACAGGGAATCAAATGGCACTTGCTTGAAGGCTAAGATGTAGGAGATGGGAACACGGACAGATTTTTCCATATCACAAAATTCCGTAGCGTTATGGTTAAGAAAGGAAACCCCTGCCTTTCGTCTTGCCACCAGCGATGCACCCCTCGCTGTGAATCAGCAGGTGACTCGGGAGTGTAGAATAACAGTTTGAGATCTTGAAGTCCAGGGAAGCACAAGCTGGAGAAAAAATTATGTTTTCTTTTCTTTCTTTAAAGAAGGCAAATAATGAATACAAATAAACCATTAAAATTTCTACACAAAGACCACAGTTTATCATCTGGCATTATGAAGCCAAGATCTTTATGCTTCTCCAGATACGAACTTGCAGAATCTTTTAAATTGCTCTTAAAAACCGAGCAGTAGAAGCAGAAAACACAAACTCAAAAACACCCACAGAACTCTACAACGGGAGGGTCATTATTGGACCAAATATCCAAGAACATCGAGAATGCATTTTTTTCCTTCCTGATGCTATTGTTTAGGAGGCGAAAGTACTTTTCCTTAAGTTCACACAAAATCTTAATTGAGATTTTTATGCCCTGCTTGTCCAAGCATGTATGTTTGATTAGGTGAACTCATGTACTCTTTGATTAATAAACTATCAATGTACAAATCTTTTAAAAGAGAATAATAATATTTACTTACTATACATATTTGTTGGCCTAACGAATATTTCTGCCACATGCCATCTATCCATAATTATTGAAGGAAAATATGCCATTTGTCTAAATTTCACAGAGCTTTAAAAAGGACTTTTTCCTACTTACAACAATACCATGTGTTAGAGAAGACACAGCAAAGTGTAATTTAAGAATAAAATATAAAGATAAATATTTAAAATAAGAGATTCAGTAAAAAGTATAAAATATAAATAATCCAAATATAAACTACATGGAAAAAGGAAAAGTCACCTATATGCCATTATCCAGAAATAATACTCTATTTTACTTCCTTCCCAACAGTGACATATGCATAGTTACATAATTTACATACAGAGTTACTATTTGTGAAATGCTGTATCCCATACCTTCCCATGCCCTCATAAACTCTTTGTCAACAGCATTTTAATGGTGACACAATATTCCATTATTTTGTTATGTGATAATTTACCCCAGCATTCCCTATTATTCCAAATTTAATTTCTCGCTAATATTTCTCAACTGTAAATGACACTAAAACCAATGGCCTTGCCTGTGAAGTGTGTCTGCAATGTGGGTTATTAATAAATCTCTAATAATCTGTTGTTAAGATGCTGAAGCTGCTACATTATTCTAAGGGAGCTAAGAGAGGCCCCATAGACTCTATTTATCCTATCAGAAATGAACTTCGAAATTCTAGCATTCCCTTGAGGTGGTGGTTATTCCAGAAAGCAATACGGAAATCAGTCCGTCCCCCTCCACACGCCTGGTGATGTGGAACTTTGCCTGCAGGATTTGTGGGACCAGCCGAGGCACACCCTGATTGCGACATGGCCTCTGGGAATTGTGCCCTGGCACAAAAGTGCTGGTCTGGGTCTGCCTCCCGAGCCTGTTGGCACTGACCCGTGGTGGTTTGGTGGGTTTAAATCAGGACTATAAAGCCAAACACCTTGGAAACATTATCTCAACAGTTCTGACAGGACGTTGCACACCTAAGAAGTGATCTGGCCCAAGTCTCTTTGCTGGGAACTCAAACCTCAGGCTTGCTTTTCACCATTTGCCCCAAGCTGCAGGGTCCTGCCTTCCTCCCACCAGCCTGCTGTCTCCTGCCTGGAGAAGGCCTCGCTGGCCTCTTTTGCCTAAGGTTTGGGCCTGTGAGACACTGTTTTATGCCACTTGCCCCTTCTCCCAGTGCCTGGGCTCTGCCATGGGGTCAGTTGGCAGTTTGTGTAGCCTGCACTGACACTGCTCCCAGGACAGCAGGAGATGGGACTGGGTGCCACGGAGCCCCCTATCTTCTCCCCAACACCAGGGCCTGCACTGGGCCTGCTGGCAGGAGGTGGAGGCCAGAGAGGAGCAACTTCCATGAAGAACAGAAGCGCAAAGAGGACAGGAGGACCCAGCCGAAGAGCGGCATGGAGTTAGCTGAAAATAGATGTCACTAGAACTGACAAGGCTGAGGAAAGCCTGGAAGGAAATATGTGGAAATATGACCGCAGCTTTAGGGAAGAGGATGATGAAGAACGTTCCCGTACATGTATTTTTCTGTATTTCCCAAATGTTCTACCGTGACTGGATATTGCCTTCGTCATCAGAAAAGGATCATATTCCTGAGACAACTATATTTATTAAAAGTCAAAAAGATGGAATTCATTTTAAGAGTCAAATGAATTACTGCTAATATTTACAAGTTTAACACAAACAATAATAGTCCTAAATTTCCAGGCAAGTTATTAAGATGTATATAACGGTAGTTCATGTATCTCTGGCAATTTACCCTTCAGAGAAACACTTTGAAACAGAAAATGAAACTGGGCAGCTTCGCTAGGCAGATAATGCCTGCCGTTGTCATATTCCCACGGCAACCCCTGACAGTGGGCCAGGATGGACACTTTCTTCTCATTTTAAATATGGGAGACTGAGGTTTGGAGGAGCAAAGAGCGCCAGGACTTGGACAGGGGTTTTGAGTCTCCCATGTCCCTACAACAGCTTCCAGACCTCCGATCCTGGCACCTTCCTGCAGGGAAGGTGTTTTCCCGAGGGGTCTAGTGTGGTTCCCACTATTTCCAGTTTTTTTTCCTCCATTACTGGAGGTGGTGCCTATGATCAGGGTGGAATTGGAATTAGTGAAGATTTTGTGGGATTTGCTTCAAAATAGAGCTATTTGCACAGGGCCCACTTATCACTTGAGATATGCCCCAGCATGCGGGTCACGCTGAAAAGCGGCCTGGCCGAGGTGGCTGTGCCTCAGCCAGGCAGGTGCTGTCTATTTCACATGATGATATGAGAGCCAAATACCACACTCCTCCTGGCAAGAAGAAAACATGCCTAGGACAGTGTCTCAGGTACATGTTTGTGGAGCCTCTGGAGTGTGAGTCAAAGCTGCGGCCATATTTCCACCGAAGAACGCAGTATGCCTGTGGGGGAACACACCTTTCCTTATCATATTTTCAAAGAAGTGGGCCAATTCCAGTCCCTTCATAACAATAGCTCTAATACATTTGCAAATCAAATGTATTTGATCTTACATTTCTTTCTTTAAAAGTGAGTTAAAAGGCAAACCAGCATGTTATGTTCTACTCTAAAAGGCAATTTCTAAATTTGGATTTTGAAAAAAAAATTGTACTCCAGCTTGAAAATCCAATGGCTCTCAGAATGCAAGCGAGCTACACCACTCTTTGTGCTAAAATCATCTTAACTGGTTTAAAATAAATCAGAACAAAATGATGTGCGCTGCACATATGTCTCCCATCACAGATTTTCTGCAGGCAGTGGGGTGCAGTGGGGTGCGGTGCAGCACACACACCATGTTCCATCCATGGGGCCCCAATTCCTCATCCAGTGAGTTCTCAACAAAAAGGCACCAACATCTCATAGACCAAGCAGACCTTGGCTTTTTATATTCCGAAGACATCCTTAGTTTCAGACAAGGATTAAATTATAAAAGAAATGATTATAAAATGTAATCAACAGGTAAGATGATAAGTCGGAGGCATTTACTTCCTCCAAGAAAAATGTGGTGCTTGGAATCTTTAAGCTGTAGTGGAAGGCACATTTTCAAAAGAGCCTTTATTTTACTTCCCCTCCTCACCCTGGGCACGGCAACCCATCTTGCCTTCTAAACTTAAAACACACACCACTTTAATTTAGCAAAGAAGAGCTACAAAGCAGAATCTCTGCGGATCATTTTTAAATTTAAAAGAGACAAGAGACCCTTAACGGTGTTTTAAACCTTTTGGGGGGGCAGTTACCTTTTCCACATGTTAATAATTTAACTGTCAAATCACAACAAACAACTAATTCCCTCTCTGAGATGCTTGGATTGCAACCTAGAAGTCGAGATTTTAATTGTAACTAGCAAATAGCAAATGCTGACAGAAGTCCTGCTTTCAAAGTGTCCCGAGACAGGGCTGGGACATGACTGATTTATTTTATCTTCTCCATCTATCTATGCACACGATTAAAATATTTATATCAGTCTGTTCACTTTAAAACATGTAGTGCAGGCACCAGCTTCAGGGCCACTCCTCCATTTTTCACAGTTTTGGCTTCTCATTGTTTCCAGAAGTGCAGGGCCCATGCATGGTGAATGCTCACACATGCCGCTGACATCTTTCAGTAGGGAGCTCAGTACATGCTGTTCTCTAACTCATCTGAAAACCCCTCCTCAAGCTGCACAAACGCTGCACAGGCACGGTGACGGAGCTGCTCGGACAACGCCTCTTGCCCAAGAGACACCAGTGAATTCCTGCAGGCCTGAGCCCAGTTTCTAGACTGAGTTTGCCTCTGGCCCAGGTGGCTGATGGAAACCAGAGCCTGGTAAGGATGCCCCAGCCAGGCGGCCAGGTAGGCAGCGGGCAGCAGGGGGTTAATCGGAGACTAGGGAGGGGTGCAAACAAAGCCCCGGGCAGGGTAGGGGAATCAGGCTGCAGGGCCCAGCCTGGCCAGCGCAGACACAGGGAGCTCTGTCTGCCTGCCCGCTGCCCGCACTGTGACTAACCGCCCCACTATTGTACCCTGAAGCCAGCCCTTTGTACTGTCCCCCTGGTGTCTGGGAGCATGGCCGAAGAACCCTTTGCTGCAGTCCCCCCTCGTCCTGGAAACCTGCAGCCCCACACCCTTTCTTTCAGCTCTCGGGGCTGCTGGGGGCCTGCCCAGCCTGTGGAAGCGTTCTTCACCCTGGCCCAGAAGGGCCACTGGCAAAAAAGAAGCTGAAAAACTAGCTCCCTGCCTTGGTGGGCTGGGGGTGGGTTTAGGGCCACGGGGACCTGCTCAATCTGCACCGCCCAGTGCAGTATAGCCGTCACCACATGCCACATGTGGCCATGGAGTCTTTCAGATTTGGAAAGTCTGTCCAAACTGGATTCCAAAGATGTAAATGAAAAGGAAAGGTAAAGTGTTTCATTAATCATTTCATATGAATTCCATGTTGGAGTATACTATTTTAGATATATATTAGATAAAATGTCTTATTAAAGTGAATTTCACTTATTTTTACCTTTTAAAAAACACGGCTGCTAGTATACGTTCAATTGCAGGTGTCACTGTTTGTGGCTGACGTCACGTTTCTATGGGACATGGCTGTGCTGGACCGGGTTTGTGGGGGCTGAGGCGGGCCAGCAGCCTGTCTTCTTCTGGGGGGACAATGACTGGAAGATGCCATCACGTCTCCTCCACGGAGTGACAACCCCCTCACCCGAGGGCCAGGAGTACCAGGCCCTCATGGCCTCACCTGACTCCCGCCTTGTGGTCACCTGCCTCGAGAATTGGGTCTGACACTTAGGGGTCTGGGAATCCTTTGTGAAACACGTATGTGTGCATAGGAACGCACACAGACATAAGGAACGGCCCGGCTCCTCCTCACAGCAGGCTGCATCAGCCCCGCCTGGCTGGCCTTCAGAGAAGCCAGCTTCATGGGGCACCCAAATGGTGCCCCTGGGGCCCCAAACTGACCCTCTGCCCGGGGACAGCCCAGCCCAGCTTGGGGCTCCTTCCTCCATAAATATTAAAAATTATATTTTATGCCAGTATTGGTATAAAGATGGATATAATCTAGGCTGAATTTCTCATATATGTTCATTATCATTATTATAGTCATATTTTTCTTCTGATTTTAAAAGATGCTAAATTTAAACGTATTTGTGGGCCCTTGGCACTGTGCCTCCCTGGACGTCCTTCCGAGCTCCTGTGCCCACTCCCTGCACGGCATCCTCACCCAGTGGGGCGCACGGGCCCCTCCTGTGCACTTGGAGCTTGCCTGCTGCTCGTCCAGTGACAGATCACCTCCCTCGTTCTAGAATTCATTTCTTAAGTCCTGCCCTGAACGTATGGTGTTGAAGTCCTCACCAGACACCAGAAAAGTTTCCATATTATTTTTAAAATACAAAAAAACAGTCATGAGAAAGGCCCACAGTCTCTGTGTGGCTAAAGGCCCCAAGTCAGGAAAACCAAGATCGCTGCCCCAGTGCTGGGGTCCCCACCAGGGTGCCTGGGCACCACGTCCAATACCAAGAGACAAGCCAGAGAAGCACAGGGGACAGTGACATGAGGTGACTGTCAGGACGCCTGGCGGCCCACCACATGCCAGCTCTGCACAGGCCCAGGGGTACCTACGCCCTCTAGTCCTCACACCCCCTCGGTGGGCCCAGCTCTGGACTGGGAGGCCCAGGAAGCCTGGCTTTCTGGCATCTCCCAGGAAGAGGCATCTGGCGCTGTGGCCATTCCCTCACTTGCCCCCTGATGCCGCGGGCCAGGCCTGGGCCCAGCCCCTGCTGAGAAAGGACCTGGTACAGGAGATGGTTAAAATTCTGCATCCTTTTTGCATCCGCCTCCAGAGGAAGCACTATTTTTTTTTCCTCCCAAGCAGGAGGAGAAAAAAAAAAAAAAAGCTGAGAGCAGCAATTTGCAGGCCTTCGGATGTTTTTCTCCTTGACAGCCCCGGCCCCGCCTTGCTGGGCCTCCCTGGAGGCCCGGCTCGGAGTCTGCCGCCTGCCTGCCCGGGCCTCCTGCATGCTCGGCCTCCCCGCGGAGCCGGGCCGCTGCAGGAGGGAGGCCGGTGGGGCCTGGCACTGCCCCGCTTTGTGTCCGCCTCCTCCCACTCCGAGCCTGCTTCGGCCGGGCACCCGCCCGGTACCCACCCTGCGCACACCCGGGGTACCCTCACCTTCCGGGCCAGGCCTCCGGCCTCGGGTCCTGCTCGCGCCCAGGGCGCCCGGCCACGTCCTCGGCGCCTCCGCCGCTCGCCCCACCCTGCTGCCCGCGCTCGGCGGAGAGCCTGGCACAGTGCCAGGCTGCCTGGGAGCCCAGCCTGGGCAGGGAACTTTCCGGCAGGGTGTGTGTGGGGAGGGATGCGGGTGCGGGTGGTGCCAGGGGGGAGAGGCCCAGATGCCCAGCGGCCACCCCCACGCCACCGACCTGCACGGCCTCCCCCGCCTCCCTCTCCTGAGTCCCACAAAGGCACAGACAACACGGGTGCTTGAGTCAAAACAGTCATGTGCGGAGCCGGCAAACAAACAAAAGCCCTTATTTATTTATTTAGTTCACACACTCAGATAAGGAGATGCCTTTTGTGCACATAATTTCACACACCAGAAAGGAGGCGATGCCACCATGCTCCCCGCAGCCCAGGGCCCCAGGAATAACTGCATCGCTGGGCCTGGGCACGTCCGTATTTAACTGGGGCAGCAGTGTAGGATTAACCAAGAAGGAAAAATGGCAAAAAAGGAAGAAAAGTGGTGGGGGTAGGGCGCCGGACATGCAGGGCAGGTCAGCGTCCAAGGTGCCCACAGCGGCTTAACTCCTCCCATGCCAGGCGGTGGGGGTGGCGACGGCAGGCAGCTGGGTGGGAAGGCCGGCTGCCCTCTGCAAAGGAGTCTGGTCTTGGGGTGCACACCCGCACCCGCCTTCTGTACCAATGCCGCCCGTTTTGGAGGCTGGCCCCAGGGCGTCCTCTTCGTGATGTCCTTATTCAGAGGAGCTCAGCACTGCACCAGGAGGGCAACGTGCTGTGACCGTGCTGGGCAACGAGACACCCAAAGCCCCTCAGTGGGGGGCTGGCCCAGGAAGGTCTTCTGCCATTCCTGCTAGGACAGACTCATCCTTTGCCATCCACAACTTGAACCCCATAATATGGAAGCTGCAATGGGGCCCTGCACTGGTGAGGCTCCGAGATGTCTCCACAGTCCCACAAGCCCCCGGCCAGGGGCTGCTGCATGGCCCTTCTGCCCCTGTCCTGGGAATGGGGCCTGCCACTGTTCTGAAGGAATCAAAGGCTGGGTGAGAGCTGGCGAAGGCCATATTCCTGGAGGCAGCTCGTGGGCCCCATGCAGCCCTGAATTTAGAGTCTGGCCATCGCTAAGGGCCAGCCATGCCCTTTGCCAGCTGTGTGGCCTTGAGCAAGTCACCTGGCCTTTCTGGGCCTCAGTTTTCCCACTTGCAAAATAAGGATATTAGTGCCCACAGTGCCTGCCCTTGGGGTTGAGGCAAGGAGGAGTAGCTCCTGGTTGGGCACATAACCTGCCTAAGCTCCCAGAATCTCTGCCCTGGAGGTGGGCAAAGGGTGGGGCCAGTGGGGCCTTTAGCAAGAAGTTCCTCAGCCCAGGAACAAATCCAGAAGAGTCCAAACCCACTTTGCAGGCAGATGAAATTTAGGGCCTGGGGCAGGCACACCATCCTGGATTATCTAGGTGGTCCAATCTAATCACGTGAATCCTTAAAATTGGAGACCCTTTTCCAGCTATGGTCAGAGAAAGAGCATGGACTCTCTTTAAAGAGGGAAGAAGGGGCCAGGAGCCAAGGATTTCGGGCACCTCTAGAAGCTGTAAAAAGCCAAGAAATGGATTCTCCCCTGGAGCCCCAGGAAGGAACCAGCCCTGCCCATACCTTGATTTTAGCCCAGGAAGACATTTCAGAGTTCCACCTTCCACGACTGTGCAATAAAAAACTTGCACCATCTGAGCCACTGAGTCAGGGAACATTGTTAGGGCAGCAGGAGGAAACTAAGACATGCCCTCTGACCCCACCAGCATGGGTGCACGCAGTGCCTCTGAAGGACCCTGTGGGGATCCAGCCAGAGTGTTCACCTGCGCACGCTGCTCCTCTGCAGTGGGCAGACCTGCCCGCGGTCGGCAGGCCTCAGGAGCCTCAGGTAGGGCGGCCAGATGCCCCGCAGAGCCCTCCTCTCCCAAAGGGGCTCTAACCCCACCTCCTGGCTGCTGCTCTTCCTCCTCCCACACCCGCCTGTTTTTCCTCCTTTTTCACCACTTATTGAGCATTGCCCACGAGCTGGCACCTTGCTAGGCATTTTCTTTTCTCATCCCCAGCCTAACAGGCTCAGCGGTCAAGGCAGCTCAGATCCCCAGATCCTGTCCATAGTTTGGTGGGACAAGAGGCTGTCTTCTGCTTCATTGTCATGAATGCGTCCTTCTCACAAGAGGACAGGCAGGCGGTTCCTGGGCCAGAGGGTTCTGCTCAGAGGGTTCAGGGCTCTCACCTGTAAAGGAGACTGATGACAACGCCTCACAGGGGGGGCCTGTGAACATTGTCAGCCGGTGTTCTGCGTGTACTAAGTACTCAGTACCACCCCATCAAGTCAGCTGTGGGGAGTGTGGGGTTTTCTCTAACAGTAAAAAATAAGATGCCAGGCAGCCTATGCCTTCGGTACTATCACCGCAAGGCGGGCTGGGGGCTGAGCCTCTGGCCAAGGTTAGACTTCAGAGGCAATCTCAAGAGGCTTTTGGAACCTAAAGGTCACCCAGGCAGCCTTCACTCCCTTAGGAAATAAGCAGAGGTGTGCACACAGACTTTCTTCAAAGTATTTATTGCAGGGAGAACTGGAAACAACTGAAAATAACCCATGTCCAATAATATGGGGTCAGTTAAGGAGACGCATCCAGTGGCCAATTAAGCAGTCCTTAGCAATCCACTGCTAGTATCTTCTGACTTAGGGAACAGTTGTGATACAGTATTTAGTGGAACAAGCAGAAGATAAAATGGTACATATAATAAGAAGCTAAGATGCTAATTTTGTTTCAAATTATGTTTTGATAGAAGCTGGGTGAAGTGTTCCCACTGGCTATTTCTGAGTGTGGTTTCACAGGTGATTGAAATGTTTTTTCTTGTTTTGTGAGGATTCAAAACATTCTAAGATTAGCATGTAACATCACTGATGGAGAAAAGGATCGACGCAGAAGGGGAGTCATGCTCCAACCCCAGTGCTGCCTAGGGGCCTCCGGGGCCTCAGCACGTGCAAGAAGCATGGCCAGCTGAATGGATCTGTGATCTGTCTGCCACATGGGGCCCCGTGCTCAGGAAGGCTCTGCACTCAGAAGGGCCCTTACATGGGGTGGTGCTCTGCTGTCATCGCCTTGAAAGCTTTAATCATTTTTCAACAAGGGCCCCACATTTTTATGTTACACTGAGCCCTGCAAATTGTGTAGCCAGTCCCAGCAAGGAGCCCCAGGCCTCGGGATGCAGCGACCTTGCCTTCTAGGTTCCTGAGTACAGCAGCCAGCTTTTTGCACTAGGTTTGTTTTATTTCCCATTCAGCAACCCCTTCTCTTCTCCTTGCTTCATGAGCTGTCAGCAAAAGTGAGAAATAAGGCTCTGTTTTTAAAAACATGCATTCTTCACTTGTGGTGCTTTTTCTGAAGACCGAAATCAGCACCTCACTGAGTTTTTAGGACCTATTTACCAGGTGTGTGTTTTCCCTGGTACAACTATGTGTGTTAGACCCAGAGCCACTGCTGTGAAACTGTCCTACATCTGGTCCTACCAGTAAAGACCCAGGGGTACCCAGGAGGCTTCCTCCTACAGCTTCTGCAGAAACACCCCAAGGGAGGTGGTGAGCTGCCTGTCTCGAGGGCATTCAACAAAGACTGCATGGCCACCAGCAGTGCACTGTGTAGGAAACACTTTTTCTGGATGGGAAGTTAGCTCAGAGAAGCTTGTCCGGGTGTTGTAATTGCACGGGGGCATCCAGCAGCTTCTCAAGGTAGGGTCATGTTCAATTCATCTCTGGATCCCCAGTGCTCAGCACAGGGCAGGGTGTGTGACAGTTTCTTTTAAGATAAGAAAAGAAACACAGAAAATGGGAGAGACAAGCAATTGAGAGCAGATGGGAAATTCGAAAGAAAAATTCCTAAGCTGCCCAGAAGCAGGTGATGTGTGAGAGGAGCCAGGAGCCACCATCCTGGCTCCTGGCTACAGTAAAACTATATTATATTATACTATATTACTGTAGTAAAACCTGGCTGTAGTAAGACTGCAGCAGCTAATGTTTATTGAGCACCTACTGTGTGCTAGAGTCACGCCAAGTTTACACATGGATACCACCATTCTCGCCACAATTTGACTGAGTCAGCACTGTTATTAAGCCCATTTTATGAATGAGGAAATTGAGGCCCAGGCCACCAGCTAATAGAGGCAGTGCTGGGATTTGAGTGCAGGCCCTTCAGTGCAGTGATATGCCCAGGCTTTTGTAACTGGAGGCTGCTTTACCTCCTGGCACATGAAGAAAGTCCAAGTTCAGGTTCACTTTCTGTACCGTCACTCCTTCATTGCACACAGCACCCCGGGCATGGCCTGAGTGGGTACAGATGCACCCTAGGGGATTTGGGGGCAGGGCAGTTCACGTATTTCATTTATAGGGAGATTTTAACTTCAAATCAGCTTAGTTAAACATATCTGGCCTGAAATAGGCAAGCCAGCTTCAGTTTTCTGGAGCACTTGGCATGTGGAGGCCAAGCCCTCTCCCCGACGCAGGGCAAATGGGGCAGACACTCCCCTCTCTCCCTGGTCCCCAGATCTGTGGGGCTTCCTTGTCAGACCTGGGGCTGGGGCTGGGTCCCTATGAAACCTTCCTCCTTTAATACTAACCAGCTTGTGGTGTACAAGGGGTTTCAACCCACGGGGCCAGGGCTGGGTTCAACCCAGTTATGCATTTCCTCTGTCCTGTGTTATTCTTAAACTTTGGACATCCATTCACAAATTCAGATTTCCTTCTCCTAGAGAGTCAGGAGCTTTGGAACCCTAGGCCTTTACCCTCTTAGCAGCAACTGGCAGGAATCCCTTAGAGCAGGCCTGGGCTCTCTGTTCCCAGTCCCTGAAAACTCTCCTCTGGGCCCCACTGGCCTGTCTGAGCCCTATAGGCTGCCCTTTGAGGCCCCTGCTGGACCATCCAGGTACAGAGGGTGGTAACCTGCCCAGTCCCCAGCTGGCCCAGGCCTTCTCACTCCTGTGCAGGGGTTTCACCCACTGCCCCTGCAGCCTCTCACCGAGGACTTTGGGGTCTGAGAGCCCCGGGGATGGAGGTGATGTTGGTGATGACCTCTCAAAGTTTGGGGACCTGGCTGCTGCAGCTCAGGGCTGAGCTTGGGAGCTTTGGAGGCTCTGCCACGACCGTGGTGGGGTGGCTTCCCTACTCTGTGGGTGTCACCCCCCACCACCCCAGGGACCAGGCCAGGCCTCTCACAGGGGCAGAGGCCTGTCTCAGGTAAAGGGAGGGAGGTGTGTGCAGAGAAACTGCTGGAGGGGGAGCAAGGCCTGGGCTTGACAGAGGCAGGAGTGGGGGTGGGGGGGTTTGGAGGCATCAGTGTCCCCATCCCTGCTCCCCAGGGATGAGTCCCCACAGGGACCCAGCTCCCTCTCCTGCCAGGCCCTGCCCACAGCTGCCATGTTGTGTCCCCTGTGCCCACCATGGCAGCCTGGCACCCTGGCTGCCCTGGCACGGGTGCCCCAGGCAGAGCAGAGAGGGTGGTAGTGGCCAGGGATCCTGCTCAGGAGGGTCCCCCCAGGATGGGCTCAGGGAAGTAACTCTGGCAGGTGGGATGGATCAAGAGCAATGTCCACCGGGAGCCCCCAGGACCCACTCCCGGTGCAGCAGTGAGAGGGTAGCTGTGCAGGCGGGGGCTGCCTCTCCTTGAACCGCTGGAGGATCCCTCTCGCCGGCAGGCCCTGTCCTGAGTGTGCAGCCCACGGGCAGGCCCCGGCCTCGGAGGGCTAACACCTGAGAGCCGCTCTGGAACCGGTGCCCCTTCTCTCCTCCTCCAGCCCAAGGGGGTGGGCGGCGCGCGAGAAAGCGGAGGAGCGCAGGAAGCCGCGGGGAGCTTCCCCTTTAAGAGCTCTTATGGCCGCCGCCCAGGCCCGGGCGCCCGGGGGAGGGAAGATGTCGAGAAAGATTCCCCGCGAACTTCCCCAGCCTTTGTTCGGGCGGAGGCCGAGGCCGGAGACCGACCGGGCGGGCGCAGGGCCGAGCGCTCCGGTGGCGGCCGTGGCGCGATCCCCGGCCCGGGGCGCCCCCTCCCGGGCCCGGCCGCTGACCCCCGGCCCGGGCCCGCATCCCCGGCGCGGCCGCGGCGGCGCCCTTACCAGCTCGTCCCGGGATCCCTGCGGAGCTGGCGGGCGGCAGCCGCGGTCAAGTTCATGTCCGGCCCACGGGCTGTCCGAGGTCTGCGTCGCGCCGGCCCTGGAGGCGCTGCTGTCACCCTGGCCTCGCGACCCCAACTTTCCGCAGAATCCCGGAGCTGGAAGTTTCCGGGCTTCGCGGCGCTGGGCAGGGTTTCAGCAGCGACGTCTGAGCTTGGCAACAAAGAGGGAAAGCGGGCCCGGGGCTGGGAGGGAAGAAATCGCAGTGGGGCCGGGGCGGGCCACCGGGAGATCCCGGGACCTCCATTCCACCCAAACCAGCACGGGGTCCCTTTACCCATCCCTGAGGCTCTTGCGTGGGTTGTAACCCCCTCCACAGCATCTTGGGCGCATGTTTTTGTTAGGGAGAGATGTGGGCCCAAGACACTCACTGAAAGGTGCCGGCACACGGACTGCACTGCAGATGGGGCAACAGCCGGCCAAGCCTCCCTCCTGTCTCGTTCCCTCAGCACAGCGGCTTGGTCAGCCACCACAAGCAGTTACATGGTGTCCCTGTCCTGGAGTGGAGGGACAGCTGGGGTCTCTGGTGTCAGGAGAGGACCTGGGCTCCACAGTGGGTGCTGGCCTGGGCCCACCTGCTCCCAGGGCACATCTGCAGGGAACGTAGGACCCTTTTCTTGCCTTTCAGGTCATGTGCCATGTGCAAAACAGGAGAATTTGCTGACCTTGCCCCGGTCCTGGAAAATCGGGCCTCCTCTTCTCAGGAGCTCCCCAACTGCTGCCTGCCATGTTCTGCCCGGCTTCGAACCCCTCCAGGCCAGAGTCCTGGGGTCACGTCTGGGTAGGGGGAGGCACCCAAGTGGCCCTGGGCCTGGGAACCTGTGGCGCTGCCAAGCCCAGTCCCTGTAAGGGCCCTGTGAGCTGGAACGGGAGACTCAGGGGCACCGGGTACCCAGCTGCCCATCTGCCTTGGGACGCTCCTGCACTGCCCTGTTCACCCTTTTCTGCAAGATGTGCTCACGGAGAACACACTCAGGCCAGCTGGCTAATCCAGCGCCCTGTGTACAACAGGGAGAGGGTATTGTTTGTATTTTTCAAAAAAAATGATCAGGGTTGGGGGAATATGTTATCCCTTGTCCCCAAAAGTGGGTGGTGCTTCAGAGTGCTGGAGCCCTTCCTGCAATACTCTCCAAATGACTTCTCAAATGTGCTCTTTTCTGGAATCAGTGCTGGACATCCACATGTGGTTCATGGAGGAGGAGGATCGCACCCTCCTCCACCTGGACACTGCCTGAACTTGACACTGGGCTGAGGACATAGAGGTGGTGGAGGTGGTCAGATTGTGCCTGGGGCTAGCTGGGGCAGTTTACAGAGCTGCAGACACTGGTCAGCTTACATACCTAGGCTGCCAATTGGTCCCTACTGACCACATTTGGCCTCATCTGGGGAGAATATCCACCTGCCACTGATGCCCAAGATCCTTTGCCAGAGTGGTGGAAGGAACTTTCTTATTGTTTTTTCACAGGAGCAAGCATGGACATCAGCTTCTCTTATTTCTCTCCAGGACTGAGGGTCAGCCATGGGCACTCCAGCAAAGCAACTGGAGTTCCATCAAAGCTCGGTGCCAGACTGTGACATTTCACCAAAACTCGCAGCAGCCATCCCTCGCTTTCCATGAAGGCTCCCTATGCAGAGAGGCCTGGCTCTTTCAGGGAAGTGAAGCCTGCTCTCTCCCATGGTCTTCTCCCTGAGGGACTCCATTCCTGAGCTGCAACCACTGCATTTTTAGGACTGGAAAATGTGTCACGAGCTGTACATCTTCCTAAAGCCTGAACCTATATACTTTCATGTGGCCACTGGTGCTCAGTGTGTCCCCAAAGGGGATGTCACCCTAGTTCCATCAAAACCCATCAAGACCTTGCCTGGGCTGGCTTCCTAGATGTATGGCCTCTGTGTCACCCTGTGTTTATTGCACTGCTGTCTTCATCTTGAAATTCCAAATAATTTTTGAACAAGGGCCCTACATTTCCATTTTGTCCTGGGCCCCCCAAATTATGTATTTTTGCCTCGAGTTATAACAGTGTCATAAAGTAAAAACAAAACAAAACAAAAAACCTGACTTTTATATTTCCCTTATGCAATTCTCCTTATAGAAATAATTCCTGATTCTATGCAAATAAGATAAAAATATTTTCATTGAAGATCATTGTATTTAGGACAGATGTTCATCTTTAAGAGGCAGGAAGCTATTATGGAAACAGTATGGTTGTGAGAGTCGGTCATCCAGGATCAGCCCCAGCTCTGCCCTGGGGACACTGTGAGGGTCTCAGGTCCTTGGCTCCCCCCTGCAGAGTGCTGTGAGGAGCCAGGGTGGTGGGTGAGGCTCGCAGATCCAGCACATCCCAGGTACCCAGCAAAAAGCCCCCTTGATTATCACGGTTATCATTTGATGTGAAGGCTCAGGTGCAGCTTAACTACTTTTAATATGAGTGTATGTTCTCTGTTCTCATTAGACAAGTAATACACACAGTTATGGGAAGTTTAGAGGACACAGAAAAGAAAGAAAGAAAATGTCCATCCAGTTCCTTTCTTTCAAAACCTCAGTCAGTCAGTTATATAAATATACATACAAATACATTACCTTTTTAAAACTTTTTTCCTTTTACTTCATCGACTTATTTTTAACTGGAAACTCTGGTGAGGCCCTGTGGGAGTCTGAGCAGGACTAATCACCCCCACATGCTGTGAACTAATCCCAGGCTGACCACACTTCGCTGCAGCTTCACGCACAGGTACAAGCCCAGTCTCCGCGGCCTCCATTCACAGGGACCATAAACTGTGACATTTACAGTCACTAACATGCCAAGTGACAAAAACTCAACATGACAGTGTCCTTAACCTGCTGTCGCCTCATCTTTCCTATTTGTGACTTGTGGTTTTTTAAAGCAGTTTTGGGCTCTATTTCTACTCTGCACAGTCTGTTGTAGAATCTGCTCTGTCAGGCAGGGGAACGAAACCATACTGAGCAGGTCAGGTCTCCTCGGCCTCTTTGTGAGGCCAGCTGGCCTGAGGCAGGAGATGGGGGAGTCTGGGGTCCAGTAGCTCAAATGCAGGTAGAGCTCAGGTTTGCCACTAAGCCCAGCGGACAGGTGCATGAATGTGCGGAGGATTATCAACCTCACAAGAAACCGGACAGACAACAGGCACAGAATATAGCCCCTGACCCCCAACCCACACTGAATGAATGAGCTGTTTGGGGTCCTCAAGCTCCCAGGGACTGAAGCTTGAATGTGGTGAGAAGCCAGGTAGAGGGTCTCTGGGGAGGTCACTTCTCCTGTCAGCTTCCCCACATTTGGAGAGAGGGGTGGTAAACAACAGCCCCCCCTCATGGGGTGCAGAGGGCAGGAGACGCGCTTCAGCAGGCAGCTGCTGGCACAGGGCCTACCACCCTTGCCTCCACACCAGTCCCTGAAGCTCTCACTGCTGAGGGCCTCCTCTGGCAGGGAAAGTGGCACAGAACCCCCAGCCCACTGTTCACCCAGGGCAGCACAGGAGACAGGCATCCTTGGGAGGAGTACTTGGAGTCACAGGGGCCCGGCACTCCAAAAGGGAGGGTCAGGGCTCTGCCCTGCATCAGCGGCGCCCAAGGGCCATGACAGTCCTGTATAACCCAGCACAGAATTGGGGCGCAGAGCTGGGGAAAGGAGACACCCCCTCCCCTGCCCCCATCATCACCACCACCTTCCTGGCAGTCCCCGGGGAGTCCTTGCCCTCTGTCTGGGGCCCAGCCCCATGTCCCTGGCCTGAAACAGCTGGAAAAAGAGAAAAGAGATATGTTTGTTTTTATTTAATTTGTTTATAAAAAGTGTTTCTTACAGAAAATTTGGAAATACAGGAAAGCACAAAAAAGAAAACAAAAATTACCCATGAGATAATCACAGGGTACATTTTGTTGAAAGTCCTTCTGGTACAGTTTCCATTAAGTACTGTGTGTGTGTGTGTGTGTGTGTGTGTGTGTGTGTATTTCAGAATTTTTGTGTTTAATATGTTGTGAGCATTTTATGTTATTAAATATTAATCTCTACAGGATTTGGAAAATAAAATCTAAATGCCAATTAATTTTTAAAATCAACCTTATGGAAGCATAGTTTCCACGCAGTAAGATCCCTTTCACTTGTACTGTTTGATGAGTTTTGACCAGTGCACACAGCTGTGTAACCACCACAGGCAAGAGAGAAAATACCACTGCAAGACGGCCCCTGGGCCCTCCACGCACGTGGGCCCCACTTCCCAGGCCCCAGGCAACCACCTAACCGGATCCTAGCGCTGTAGATGTTTTACCTGCATCTAATACAAATGGGGTCACAGAGTATTAACTCTTGCTCAGCATAACCGACATTCTTCTGTGTCACTGGGTCTACTGACAACTTACCCTTCGTACTGTGAGGGCCCGTCGTACACCAGTGGTTTGCTTCCCCGTTTGGCTGTGGGTGGACGATTGGGTTGCTCCTTTCGCTCTTGTGAATAGAGCTTGGTGAATGCTAATTTATTTATTTTTTTTTTAGCAAGCAATGTCCCCAGCACAGGTTGAGGTACACCCACCACGTGGGCATGGCCTGTGTATTTCCTGCCTGGAGAACCCCAGAGAACTGCGGAGAGTCCTACCCTGTGGGTGGGTTATAACTTTTGCTACTATTGTCAGACATATAATCTCTGCAGGGCTTTTGCTATTATAAATAATGCTGCTGGGAACATATTTATACTGACTTTTATGTATGGCTATGCTAATTTCCCGAGAATAAATTCTCATCAGCAGAGTGTTAGATCAAAGGATGTCCATGTTTTCAAGGCTCTTGATATGAGGTCAGGACTTTGAGGCATGTTCATATCCATTTTTTTCCCGTTTGCTTTTCATATTAAGGACAGGCGTCATCATCCTCATTGTTCAGAGGGAAAAACAGAGCTACAGCCATGCAGTGACCAGCAAGAGGCCAAGCAGCCAATCAGGGACGGAGCTGGGTGGAAATCCAATCTCTAAGTCCCATATTCTTCCAGGACAGCTTACATCCTCACTCTTACACATCTGCCTGTATCAAAAACACTCAGAATCATCCCATAAAGATTTCCATGAAAGTCAAATTGTGGGCTTGATATGAAAGGCGACCTTGTGCTAATTAGTCTGGCTTTGGTTTGGTTCATCGACCAAGCTGGGTGTGTGCAACCATATCCGTTTTCACACACGCGCACACTGGCACGCTTGCGCCCACTGATGTCAGCAGCAGCCAGTCCAGACGAGGGCTCCAGACGTTCCTTCCAAACTGCCTGCAGAAGCAGGAGCCACAGGGTCTCCTGATTTTACAATGGTGGCACATTCTGGCCCCAGACAGGGGCGCTGGCTTGGCTTCCATGTATCTACTCCGCAGACTTGGCCCAAAGGATGTCTGGTTATTTCCCGAGATCAAATATCCCCTTGAGGACAAAGATCAGGCTGCTGGGGGGTTTCAAAGGAATGATCCATTCCCAAGATGACTGCTTCCGAAGAGGTGTCAGCAGGTCTGGGTGTGGCTGAGCCCTGGTACTTGTTGGGTACCCAGCAGAAGCCGGGCAAAGTGGAGGGGCTCCTTGGGGTTCTTGCAGAGTGATTGTGAGCCACTCTAGGAGTGTGGGAGGAGTTGAGCATTTAAACCGAGACAAAGCTTGATTTCATTCACTTATTAAGCTCTTCTCTGTGTCTGACAGGGCTATACCCATTACCTTGCTCAATCCTCAACAACCACATATTGCTATTCCCACTTTACGGATGAGAAACCTAAGGCTCAGAGAGGTTAAGAAACTAGCCCGAGGTCACACAGCAGTGGGTATTAAGTCTCAAGTCTCAATGTGCTTGCTTTTTGCAGATATCGGTACCCAGCCTCCCTTCTGAGTTAGAGGTCTCTGCCCCTGTTTGTGGCTAGCAGGTTCCAAGGACACACGTTCATCTGGAGGTAGCTCAGGTAGAATCCAGGATAATTTGCAAGTGCTTGGAAGATATAAACTGTGCAGACTGTGTCTCCCCCTACCCAAACCCTGTTCAGGTCCATGGGGGCTTCCTTCCTGGGACTATATCCCAGGCCCACCCCACTGCTGGGTGGACCCATTAACACCCCGTTCCTGCCCCCATTTAAGAATGTGTTGTCTCCTTCATTGGGCAAAGAGTCACCTCCTCTCAGCCCTGGGCTGAGGCCTCCCTGCTCTTGGAGCCAGGAGGTCTAAGGAGGCCTTTGTCCATGGAGAAGAAATCAGGAAAGGAAGAGGCCATTCTCTCAGAAAACATGTGTTTTCTGTTTACAGAGAGACCTGTCCAGTTCCCATGTTTTGTTCTTTAATATGGAGCAAAAAAAAAATTAAACGTGCAGCTTCCTTTTTGAGGTACATTTAGAGGCTGGACAATATGTGCTGGGCCTCAAGCTGGCCTGGGTTGGGGCCTCATGCCCTGTTTTCTGTCACCGTGGAGCATCACATGGCCCTTGTATACCAATCTGATAAGCCACACGGAAAGCCAAAATGCCCCCTGTATCTCCGAGGGAGGGGTGGGTGGAGATGAGAAGTAGGCAGCCTCCGTGTGACTGGGGGTTTGGTTTCTTCACCACTAGGTCGGTTCGTGCATGTGAATATCCTGCGGTGCTCTCACCCACACTTCCAGATCTTGTGACACAGCTGAACTGGACGGCACCCTGACGACCTGAAATCTTTTTCACGCCCTCTCCTCAGATGCTGGACAGAAGCTCTTTTCCCATCACCTGAGCAAAGGGACCCGTGTAGCAGGTGGATGCTAACTTGGCATGGGATCTCCAGGCTCCGGGGGCAGAGCTCCCAAGTGGTGGGCACCTTCAGATTGGGGAGAGGGGCTGAGCCCTGGGTAGGAGGATGTTCCTGCTGGGGATGAGGTAGCAGTGAGCTAAGGTAAATGACACAGCTGGCGGCCAGCTGTGCCTACTGAAAGGAAACCATTACCCAAGGACCCAGGTTAGCAGAATGTAAAAGCCTGAGGGGCAGAACCAGGGATCTCCGTCCAAATGCAGACCTCTTCTGCCAGGCCGTGAGCAAACTGCCTCTGTGGAAGGGGGTGCCCGAGATACAAGCTCTGTGAGTACTAAAAGGACACAAAGGCACGCGGTTTTCAAGAAATGACAGCTGCTGCCATGACCTTCAAGCTTCTTTGAAGCGATGCTGTGACTCCAGCATCGGTTCACTGTTGAGGCCCTAGTAACAGCCGGCAGGTGGAGCGGGCTCTGCAATCCCTGGCCTGGGACCAAGCCTGGCTAGGGCAGGTGAGGCCGCCTGGCCTACAAAGGATGACAGCTGACAGCGTTGCGTAGGAGCCCAGATCCCGCCCAAGGGTTTAGCATCCGGGTGCGGCTCGGAAGGGCCGCCTGGGCCGGCATGCTTTGATCCGCCCGCTTTCCCCGGGCCGGGCAGATCTGCCGCGCGCCCCGCCGGGCCCGCCCCTTTGATCCCTGCCCCCGGCCGAGCGGCTCAGCAACCCGCGCACCTGGGGCGGGCGGGGACAGGAACGAGGAGGCCGGAAGGAAGTGCCCGCGGGATCTCCTCCGGGAGCCTCGCCCTTCCGCGCCCAGGCCTGCGACGCTCGCCAGAGCAGCCTCAGCCCCACCGTCCGCCCTCCTTTGCGTCCCGCTCCGGAAGCTAGAGCCGCGCGAGGGGCGGTGCGGATGCAGCGTGGCGGCGCGGGGCGGGGCCTCGGCGCGGCCGGCCCCGGAAGCTCCGCCGAGGGTGCAGTGGGAGGGCGGAGCCGGGCCGGCCGTGGTCTTTGCGCGTCTGGAGGCGGGGGCGGTGGGCCGTGCGGACGTAATGACGCAGCCAAGCGGGCGGGGTAGTGGGCGGGGCCTCGGGCGCGGCGGTGCTGGTGGTTCAGTTCCAGTTCCCTGCCTACTGCCCGGCGTCAGCTAGTGGAGCTTTAGGTATTTGAGTTGAAGCTCATCTAATTCAGATTTTCATTCTTAAAATTCTTACAATTTTCGTTTTTTGCCCTCCGCCCAAGCCAGATAAGAAATCAGACAGTAGAGGGCCCAGAAAACCTAAGAGCGCAAACTGAGAAATCTCTGGGAATCTCAGCGCATACAACGGCCCGGAGCTCGGCCCGGAGCTCGGCCAGAGCTCGGCGTGGGCTCTCGCCTCTGGTCTGGAGTATTTTTTTAATAAATATTTTTTTCATAATCGTAATAACGCAGTACATACACTTGTGAGTGCCTTTAAAATAACATTTTTTTTCCTGAGTGTAAAGACACACGTTTATTGCAGAAAATTTGGAAAAAACTAAATATGAGATTCCAAGATTATCAGGGCTAACATTTTGGCGTTTTTCCTTTCTACACGATTACACATATATTTGAGACAAATATAGATACTATAAATGTCGCCACGTCATTGAGTGTTCATCTACAATGTCATTCGTAATCACACAACCCTATGATGAGCAGTCCATATTTTATTTTAACCTATATGCTATGATTGGACGTTGTTGTTTACAGTTTCCATCCCTTCCTTGCTTTCTCCTTGTTTTATGATGAACATCCTTGTAGCTAAATCTTTGTGCATGTTTCCAAAAGTTCCCTATGACATGGAATTGTTAAGTCAAAGAATATAATCACTAACGGTTCTTGTACCCCTCTTTTCTTCCTCTATGTGTTTTCCACATTTAAAAGTAAATGAATGTTTTAACAATTGATACGACCCAAGAATACTGTATATACTCCAAAAATACATAACAAACTCCTCCCAACTCAACAACAAACCTGGTAAAAAGGTAAGCGAAGACTTGAGTATGCATTTCTGCAGATGGCCAATAAGCACATGAAAAGACGCTCAACATCACTAATCATTAGGGAATGCAAGTCAAAACTACAATGAAATACCACTTCACACCTATTAAGATGGCTTTTATTGAAAGAAAGAAAGGGAAAATAACAAGCCTGGTGAGGAAGTGAAATTAGAACCCTCATGCGTTGCTAGTGGGAATGTAAAATGGTGCCAGCTGCTGTGGGAAACAGTATGGCAGTTCTTTTTGAAAAAATTAAACATAGAATTACCATGTGATCCAGAAATTCCACTCTTAGGTACCCAAGAGAATTGAAAGCAGGGACTTTAGCAGATAGTTACACACTTATGTTCATCGCAACATTATTCACAATAGACAAAAGATGGAAACAACCCAATATCCATAAACAGATAAAAGGATAAACAAAATCTGGTCTGTACATACACTGGAATATTATTCAGCCTTAAAAATGAATGAAATTCTGACACATGCTACATACAACGTGGATGACTCTTGAAAATATCTGCTAAGTGAAATAAGCCAGACACAAAAGTACAAGTATTGTATAATTCATATTATATGAATTATATGAGGTATCTAGATTGGTCAAATTCATATTCACAGAGAAAAAGTAGAAGAGTGGTTACCTGGGGCTGGGGGTGGGGTGAGAACTAGGAGTTATTTAATGGGGACAGAGTTTCCGTTTGTGATGATGGAAAGTTCTGTAGATGGATGGTGGTGATGGTTACACAACAATGAATGTGCTTAATGTCACTGAAATAGTAAATGGTATATTTTATGTTACATATATACACAAAAAAAGACTTTTCTGGCAGAGGGGGTGAATATCTCTCCTAGATTCTGGTTCCAAGAATGCCTGGGTAGGAAAGGCTTCCATGTGTAGAAAGCTCCTCATGGGTAACCCTGCTCAGATAGTTGGGGACAGCCCATCTGGGGAGCTCTGTTCTGGGGAAACAAGTACGAAGCCAGGCCTTACACAACCAGCATTTTCTGTAATAATTTCCAAGCTGGGAGAGAAAAACTTTGGGGGAAGCAGCGAGTCATATGGATCTTAATTTGAACTTGTTCTTTTCTTTCTGGGCCATTGAAACACACACACACACACACACACACACACACACAAACTCTCTTCGTCTTGATTGCAAACATGCAATTTTGCAAACACAGAAAAGCACCCATGAAAAAATAGCAAATATATAGACTCCCAAACCACAGTTGGTATTATTTGCAAGTGTATTTGACCTGCCTTTCTCCCCTGTTCATTATACCTACCTAAAGATCACTGTGGTCATATATTTTATAATCAGCATTTTCACTAATGGTCAATGAACAATTTACCTTTAAATGTGTTTCTATAGCCCACTTTTTAATGTTTGCAGAGTGGCCTGTTGTTCAGATGTCCCATGCATAGCTTCTGAGCCTAATTCTCATTGTTGGTCGTCCAGGCCACTTACAGATGTGCCACAGTGAATGACAGCCTTCTTGCACATCTCCAGTCGTTCCTTTAGGTATTCCTAGGAGACTCACTGTAAATTCAGAGGATTTGCTTTTTAAAGGCTCTTAAATAACCTACCAATTGCCCTCCAGGAAGGGTGAACAGATTATTCTAGCAGCAGCAGCGTGAGAGAGCATGCGGGTATATCTTTGGTGCAGCGGTGCCTTAGTTCCACCAGGCAGGACACCTGTCAAACAAGAATATCAGTGTTCCAGGGTGGGCCCTCTGTGGGCCCCTGTCTTTTTGCCTTTGTTGAACAATCCCAAGGACAGTTGGGCCAGGGAAGACCTGGGCTCTGAGCTCTGCAGGGGCAATGGCCCTGGACCCATGGTACCTCTGGGGAAGGTCCGACTTCTACTTGCCCCCAGGGGCCACTGAGTAGTTTTCATAGCTTGTTTGCAGGCATTGTTGGTATTGCCTGGACCATTTCTCAGGCTCAGGGTGTGGAAGGCACTGCCACATTCCACCAGGCTCACCTGGCTTTTCCGTGCGGCACGGAAAGTGGCATCCGTCATTGTAGAGCCAACAGTTTTGGACACACCCCGGCTGTGAAGCAGGAATCCTGTGTCAAGTTTTCAGCACCAGGTGCCCCCTCCCGCCAGTCATCCTCCATCAGTCCCCACCCTGCAGCACAGGGTGTCTTTTATATGACCCTCTGGTGGCCATTGCTCTGGGCCTAGTCACATCGGGGCTCAGCCACAAACCTGGGGCTGGCATGGAGCACCCCGTGCCCATCTGTCCATCCTGGTTATGTGCAAGGCCAGCAGGGACTCTAGAGATACAAAGTCCTGGCCATGCTTTTTCTGAAGCCCCTGGAATCAGCCTCTCCTCTCTCCCCAGGGCCACAACCCCCCCTCTTCCGAGCAGCTGCCTCCTAACCGCTGCCTATCTCCTCCAGTGGGGCTGCACACGGCTCCCCACACACAGTCCTGTCCCTGTCCTTAGAACATTGTGGTGTTTCACAGCAGGGTGGTGCCCCACTTCTCTCTCCAGCCTCGTCTCCCACTCTCTCCCCTTCGTGGCCTCCCCTGCCCCCGCCATAGAGAACGCCTGCCTTTCCCAACAGCTCTTCCCTCTCAAGGGGATGTTCTTCCCTCCCAAGTTGCCGGTTTAGCTTCTCCACCCCTTACTCCTACTGTAACAATAGTTGTTAACATTCAGCATGGACCTCCTGCCAGGTAACCTCGGCTACTGCCTCCTCCAGGAAGCTTTCCAGACAGACCCCAGAGCTATGACAAGCTCCTCCTATGGTGCCCAGCCTCCTGGCCTTTGATAACAAGCTCCTCAGCCTTGTCGCAGAGCTGCATCAGGCCATGGGTTTCTGGAGAGTAAGGATTTGTGTCGTCAGTGTCCCCAGTGCTAGGCCCAGGGCCAGGGGCTGGTGTCAAGTCATGTCCAGTTGGGGGAGCAAGTCCAGGATGGCACAGCCAGGAAAAGCGAGCAATGAGCACCAACACACAGCGTGAGCAGTGCTGGCTGGAAATTCACTCAGACCATTCAATTTCACACAATCATCTGCAAACAGGAAAGCTTGAAATTGTTCTTGACAAACAGGGATGAAAAAGCAAAGGAAAGCTGGACACAACACTCACTTTCATGTCACCCAGGAAAGCAATTGTTTTTCTGGCCAAACACTGCTGTGTAACTTCAGGCAAGAGTTGTCCCCCTCTGGGCCTCAGCTGCTTGCTCTTCGATGCCAAGCTGCCCTCAGCGATCACACACAGGATTTCAGTGTTAATTACCGATGGTGCCCACCCTCTAATCAGCCAATGTCCATGGTAGCGCCTGCCCTTGGAAGTGAGGATGAATCTCCTTCTAGAACACTCAGAAAGGTACAGCACAGACACTTCACTCGTGCTGGCCCTGTCCCCACTGCTCCTGGAGTGGTTAGAGCCCGTTGTCCTGTGGCAGGAAGGCCCAGGTGCGCATTTGATACCCGCACTACTCATATCTGCATGTTACTTGTCTCACACCACGGGGACAGGCAGACAGCAAGGCATCTGTGCATTGTCTTTCTTCTCTGTCCTCATAAACATTCTTCCATCTAAGCTGAGAGACCTATGTCACCGCTGCAGGCCACCTCCATGGACCCTCATTGTGGCTGGGGTTTCATCACATTGACCGGCTGGGTACCCAGGTTGTCCTCTGAGCACCTCTAGGTCAGAGGGTTCCAGTAGCCCCAGGGGACCCATCTGGAGACCCATCTAGTCCAGTGGGGCCAGGAAAGCTGCGGTCCAGAGAGGAAGGGGTGCACGAGGGGGACCCACCCCTGCGAGGGTCCAGCCATGACCATGCTGGCAACCGCCAGGGTGAAATGACAAGTATGACAATGACATGGCAAGTTAAACACCATGTGTGCTCAGCATGAAGAAATGGCCTTTATCTTGAGATTGTCTTCCTACTTTTTGTGGCTTAAAACTATCCTCTCAAGAAAGGAAATTATAATTAATTACTGTTCTAAAGGTCACAACATGGAAAATAGAAAGTTGGCAATCTTCAGTACATCTGCAATATTTCCTTTGAAATTTGATCAGTCTATGAATTCCAGATGTCTGGAACCCCTTTCTGCATGGTCACTGTTTAAAGTCTGCAGTGGCTCCCTACTGCCCGCAGTTTTGCAGCCACTTTCCTTAGAAGGCATAGAAAGTGTAGGCAGGTGGGAAGAGAGAGGCAGAAATGAGGGAAGGGGCAGCTTCCTGGAGGAGGTAGCATCTAAACCAAACACTACAGGCTTTGCTGATTGGCAAGGGGCAGATAGGAGTGGGGCAGGAGGGGCAGGCTGAAGAAGGTGTGCCAGGGTTGAAAACCAGCTGGTAGTGGGATGGCTGAGCAGAGAAGGCAACAGGGACACATGGGAGATTGAAGCTAGAGAGACAGACAGGAGCTTAGTGAGTGCAATACCAGGGTCCTGAATTATTCTCAGAGCAGTGAGGAAAATAGAAGTATGCCCATTTCATAGACAAGCCTCTAGGGAAGGAGGGACTGCCTGGGGCGTCCAGTGAGAGATGCTGGGGAAAGGACCAGAGCCTACTATCTGACTCCCTAAGCCGGCCTCTGCCTGGGAGGGTCTGTCTGGGGCTGGTGCCCTCCTTCCTGGGCCTGGGACTGGGTGGGGTGGAGTAGCTGTGAGGCCTGGCTCAGCCCTGGCTGCTGCTGGAAACCCCCCGAAATGCACCCCAGTGCATGATGCCCCCAACTATGAGGTCCTTTGGTTCCTGGTGGGACTGCTGGCTTCACACAGCTGCCATGACAGACGCTGCTGGAAGTGAAGGCCTTGGCAGCCTCACACCTGGGGCTCCCTAGTTCGAGAGCACAAGCCTTTAGACCTTCAGGCACCCCAGCGGGGCAGTGGGTACCAGCTCCCGGCCTTCTGCAGCAAGACAACTTCCCAGCCTCTCCAGAGGGTCATAGGTGGGGACACTCCTGAGGGAAGTGGGGCTCAGAGGCCCAAGAGAGGCCCTCTCCCACCTCCTAAGAAGGACTCTGCCTCTTTCCAAGTACTGAAGGTACCAAATGCCACAGCCTGTCCCCATCCACCACTGCAGTGTAACCCACACTGGCTGGCACCCACCCACCTAATTAGCAAGATAATAAATATGCCCTGGGTGCTACCGTGCTGAGGGATGGAGGAGCTCCTGCCTTCAAGAAGCCCCTAGTACGGTGGGTGACAACTAACACATCAACCAGGGCCTTGATGGGGACTCATCATAACGTTGCTGTGCTATGACAGGGCTCATGTGGACAGCTCCTAGAGCTACACTGTGGGCTCAGAGGGCACCCCAGGCTCAGGCAAAGGGTGAATGTCCCCAGGCTGCCAGGCTGGAGGGCTGCTGAGACCAGCAGACTGGCGGGTGGGGAAGGGCTTCCAACAGCCACATTCCCAGCAGCAGCCTTGCAGAAGACCCCCAGTTCCAGCGGGGCCTCGGGGGACCCTGGGGGCAGCCTGCCCCAGGCTCTGCGCAGACTCCTGTCGGAGCAGGGGCCGGGTCCCAGGCCTGCGCTCCCCAGCCATCCACTCCCCATGGTGGCCCTACCGTTCCCACAGGGCCAGGGGACGCCTAGCAGCTGGAGAGGAGGGTCTCCTGGTAGGAGGGTCGGAGGTGCCGTGGGGTGGAGGGCACCTGGCAGGGGCTTTGGTGGCAGCCCGGCCGCCCGCCCAGACGCGCTGCCAGCTGATTAGCATGGGCGAGGGGCGCTGGCGCGGGGGCGCCGCCGGCCGAGCTGGCACGTCCCTCGCGTGCCCAGCTGGCCAGACCGAGACACAAAGCGCCTCAGACGGCGGCGGCGCTCGGCCATTCACGCGCAGGGGCGGCCCGGGCGCGGGCGGCGAGGAATTCCCGCCGCCGGGCGAAGAATAGCGCCTGGGCCGGGCGGGGCTGGGCCGCCCGGAGCTCCTGACCTTGAACCTTTGTGACTGGAGCGCATGCAAATCGCGGCAGGGCCGCGCCAAGCCCCGAGGGCGCTGCGCCGCCCGGGGTGTCCCGGCGAACAATGCGCCACTGTCCCCGCGCGGCGCCGCAGGCTGGGAACGGCGCGGACGCGCAGGGCGGCGCGGCGCGAATGCCAATGCGGGTTCCCCGGCCGGCCGGGCGCGCGGCCTGCGCACCCAGCCCGCCCGCCGGCCTCTGCGGGCGTCCCATGGATCGTGGGCTTTCAGGTGACTGTGTGCCCTCCCTCCTGCCCCATCTTTTCCTTCTTTTACTCCTTTTAGTTTTTATATCCTCTAAATGATCCGCGACAGAAAAAAGGTCGCTCCAATAACCGCCTGACCCGGAGAACCTGTGCCAGCGGGTGGACTCCTGCCCTCTTCTCTCTCCTTGGGGCGCATTCTTCTCCCTGCCCAGCGTGAACCCTTAAAATTCAGCGTCTCGCCTTCGTCACAGGGCGTAAGCGTTTCCTTTTGTCATTGATACTCCCCTTTAAAGACTGAGCAGTATTGTTCTTGACTGAATTGCTCCCCTGTTGGCCCAGGTGTCTCCATCACAGGGAGAGCAGCTTGTCAACAGGGGATGCCAGTCCCGTAAGTAGCTGCTCAGAGAGGAAGGGCGGGGGACCTCTCCCTAAGTTGCTCGATTGCAGGTTGCTAAATTGAATCCAAAGGTTTGCGCCAGACCTAAACGTGGGCTCTGCAGCGTCTGTCCTTACTGGCCTGGCTATTGTCCTTACTATGTGACTAAGTAGGCAAGAAGCAGACCCTCAGAAAACACATATGCTGTGTAGGAAGCTGGTTTTTATGCACTTGAGCATGACCAGGATATTCTAGCACCTTCTATTGATTTGAATTGGACACACTGACTGGAGGAGACAGAGGCCCAGGGCAGAGCCAGATGTCCCAGCCCTGAAGCTGGCTGGTGACCAGTCATATGTCCACGTGGGACTCAGTGTCCTCATCTGATAAGGGGTCTGGTGTCTGCTTGCCAATCTCGTAGAGGCAGCGGGTATGAGGGTCGGTCCTTGGGGGTCCACAAAGCTGCGCAGGTGTGAGGGAGGCCTCTATATGTGCATGCATGTGTTCAGAAAGTGCAACATGCCTCCATTCCCACTAGGGTATTGGGGGGCTCAGTTCTGCCACAGAGGGCTCGGAACAGGGATGACCAGTTCAGAGGAGGTGAACCTGGGCAAGGACACTCCCTCTCTGGGCCTCAGTTTCCCCAGGTGTTAAAAGAGGATGTTGTAGATAGGATCAAAAGATTCTTCAACATTCTTAGATATAAAGGAGTTAAGTAGGATCACTTTTTACAGGATGGCAACAGCACAGGCCCGCGTTCTTCAGGTGAACCTGGGCTCCCGAACAGGCTGCCATTATCGGTTTCCAGCGGCCGACTTATGTGAGTGGGTCAGGAAGTGTGGATCTGCAGGGCGATGGAGTAATGAACTTAACACCCTTACGGCTGCATGAATCACATGGTTTATTCTGCAGTTTCCTTTCACACAACACTCAAAGGGGGGATCAAGCATATCTAAAAATCACACATATCACGGATCAGTACATCTCATACTGGTCACGATGGATGGTTCAGGGTCCTGGTTGTCCCAATCAGCCTCTCATCTGTCCCAGGGGAGAACGATGCAGTGGAGACAGTTCCAGTGGAGTGGTGCGTCCATGATGGCGCAGGAGCACAGGCGGATGAGCAGGAGCCCGCCCCGGAGCACACACCTGTGGGCCGGTGTCAGGGACCTCGGGGACGAGCTTGCCACAGGGGCTCTGTGTGTGGTCCCTCATATAGTCCAGCTCATCCATTCAGGGATCGAAGATAAAGGGGGACAGTCCACATGTGGTGTTATCCAGCTCAGGTGTGCACCGGCATGTCTGACATACGGAGTTATCTGGTTTGGGCAATCACCAGCACACTTGCAAATACACATTTGACAACAAACAAAACCTTTTAGGGTGGGGTATGTTCACAGAGGTGGTCGGCGAGAAAGCAGGCAAGCCTGACAAAAGCAACTCCATGGAGGATACTCATATCACCGACTCACCCACCAGCATCCCCTTTAGGCTGGACACTGGGGCAGACCCTCCTACACATACTTACATGAAGGGTAGGAGACCCTGTCTTGTCTTTGGAGAGCCAGAGACTGCTGGAGGCAAGAGGGGTGGGGAGGGAGGGGTAAGGAAGCCGATGACTGGTGTAGTGAGGGCAGCAGCCCTGGCAGCAGTGGACGCAGTGAGTGGAAGGGCAGAAGAGGTGATAGAGGGGTCCAGGCTGGCCCTGGAAGGAGGCCGCAGGAATTGAGCCTCGGGGAGGACGAGTGGAGAGCACTCCAGGTGGAGCAAGCGCTCTAACAGGCCAAGGATGCTAAGATGCACGGTAGGGAAATCCCTCCCTCAGGCAAATTTTCCTGCATCTTTGCATTTATACACTGTGCCTCATGGGTGGCCAGCAGGACCAGAAACACCAAAATAAAAATAAAATATAAAAGCCAGTCTGGCTAAGGGAAATGTCAGGGCAGGAAATAGAGATGGGGGAGGTGAGAAAAACTTGCCTTGGGGTGGGTCGCTCCTTCCCTCAGAGCAAAGCAGATTTCCCAGCCCCGGCATCGTTCAGGTGTGGGTGTGCCAGGGAGGAAGAGTGCCCTGAAGCACTGGAGGCGGCCATTTGATTCTGGCCTTGGAAGCGGGCACCCTGCCTCGATCCCGAACAATCCAGGCAGCAAGCACCATGGGGCATGGTGCTAGGGGCCAGGGCTGCCGCTGTCCTCAGCAGGACACGCGTTGGGCCGCACTGTCCACACGGCTGGAGGGTCCCTGGCAGGGCGCCTGGGTAGGACTTGGGGGGTCAGGGAGGGCTTCTGGGAGAAAGTGATGGCACAGGGTGGGTTTGATTCTGGCTGGGTGGTAGAATGGCTGCAAAATGGCAATCGCAGTGGTACAAACCTTTAGGCGAAGATGAAAGCAAGCCCGACAAGTAGTCCCAGGGTCAGAGGGTAAGAGGGTGCACCTGCCACGTCCTCAGTTGTAGGGACAAAGTGGAGACCTCTGGAGGGTGGCTGGGGACGGGAGCTCATTTTGAATTCTCGAGTCCTTTGTAGCTTACCTGATAGTAAAATGTGATTTCTGAAGTAAAATTGATAGGTCATGGTTGACTGGTCCTTACTCCCAAATACACATTTGACAACAAACAAAACCCGGAAAGGCTGTAAGCCCCAGATGTCTGCCGGCTGCTGCCCTTAAAACGCCTCGGCCGCACGGACCCCTGGGCATCTTGGCGAGTCAGAACTGGATGGGGACCCGGGCATCTCAGCCCCTGGTTTCTGACCAGGCGAAGGGGAGACTGAGGCCCTGGGGGTGCTCCTCTAAGGCCAAGATGCCCGGGAGAGAAGCAGATCTCCCGCCTGCTAGGTCTTTCCACTACTTCACCGGATTCCTTAGAAATTAGCAATGGAAAAGCAATCCCACACTGAGGGAAGAAGCGAGTCATATTTTCCATCCTGGCTCCTTGCGAGCACCTGGGACATGGTGGGGCCCCCACAGAGCCCTGCGGAGGAGCTAGGTCACGTCCCCCGAGGGGCAATTAGCGAGGGGCTTTGCGGGCTGCTGTTGTGGGCAGGGCCTGCAGCCGAGGGCTGAGGACCCCCTTCGTGAGCCGCTGCCACCCTTCAGCCTGGCATGGCAGGACGGGTGGCCGGCCGAGGTGGCGCCTGGATCACAGCCCCTCAAACCCAGGTGGGGGGCACAAAGGAAGCCGAGCCCTGGCTCGGGCCCCGCAGAGCCCTTCTGCCGCCGTCCTGGGCGCGCGGACGCCAGCAGGCCTGTGCTGGGCCCGCCTGGGCTTCGCCCCGACGTGCTGCCCACTGGCCCTGTGCCCTTAGACAGGCTCCTTGACCTCCGCACCTCAGTGTCCTCCTCTGTGAGATCAGATGGCATGCCGCATGGTACCTGGCACGTAATAAGTGCTCAGGAAATGCCAGCATTTGCCCGATGCTCACCCCATTCATTCATTCTCCCGTTCAATGTCAGACCACCGTGGACCCCGTCGGTTTCATTCCTTTTTGTCCCCTGGCCGGAGGTCCCACACTGAGCTGCGTGGAATGAGCTGCGAGCTGGAGGAAAGGGCCCGGGTCTCCAGAACTCACGGGCAGAGGCCAGGCAAGACTTGCCAGGCAGGGCTGCTCAGTGCCGCCCGC